AAAAAGTACGTATAGGTACACTGACAGACATTTATTTCAAAATTTAGATGTTCTTTAAAGAACACATGCAATATAAAATTCAATTTACTTTTGTATTGTACAAAAAGGTATTGCTCCAAATAATAGTTCACTAAAATTTGACTCTTAAAGGACATTTGTAGTTGATGGAGTTGATGGAGAAATGGAGATTTATATTTGATGCGTTAATCATAACTCATTAAAAATGCCCGAAGAGCAACCACGACTAATGGTCGGAGGAAGCTCGTTGTAACGTAATAGTTTCCAGTAGCAAAACGCAATAATTTGCACGCTTCGTTCACAATGTAGTGATAACATTTTTGCATGCATTAACAACTCAATTTTACGTTGAAACTATGCTTTATTGTGCCGCATTTAACTGTAAAACGGTTCTTCTAACAAACGCCAAACGCGGAAAAGGTTTCTTTTTTTTCCTTTCCCGAAAAACTCGCATGCAAGATAATTGGATTGAAAAAATTGGACGAAAAAACTCCGCCTTCAGAAGGATTACGTACCCACAATTTCTGACTACTCTGTGGAATTCACAATTGTATTATCTAGCCAAATGAAAGCAGCCAACTAATGTTAGAACTGCCTTTGAGAAGACACGAATGCATGAGATGACTAGTTACAATATACAATATTTGTTATTAATTATAAAAAACTAAGCTACAACATACACCAATTGAAAACACTTTTATAATTTTAGATTATTGACGACGTTCTTGTACAACATTTGTGGATGTAGGATTTTTTAAATTTGGGCCAAAAAACGACGGAGGCGTTCGCCACCTATGGGGGTCCAAGATCATGCTTCTCGGAAAACTTTTGATTTCTAGGGTCTCGGATATGCAAGTGCTAATCATATTTTTTAGCATCATTTGGTGGTAAAATAGCATTTTCGTAGCATTTTTAAAAGATATTGAGAACAATACTTACATAATGGCTTTTTCGCCCAGTGTCAGGGCTCATCAGCATGCCTAAAAAACACATATTGTGATTTTGGACATGTACAGTTTTACGTAAAAGGTTAATTGGCAATCTTGCACTATACTAACCCTAGACACTTAAGCTTCAAAAAAGGCAAAATTTGCACAAAAATTGACTAAAAGACACCTGATTTTCTTGGTAGATGTTCCTTATTTTTTGAAAGAAACGATGATTTCAACAATAAACAAACCAGGAAATTTTACAAAGTACTTGTAGGCTCATAATTGCCACCATTATACCCTTTTGACGCCTTAGGACTCAGGCATTCTTGTTGAGTTTGAGTTGATGTTAATGGTAGAAGCATGTAAATCAATTCCTTCCTCCCCCAGTACCTCTGCCTTCATATTTTTGAAAGGTGTACATGGCATTATTCTATTGCACAAGTGGCTCAGTAACAAATTTAAAAATCCTTCCAGCTTTTGATGTATAATTTTCATAAAGCAAAACACAACATACACGATATGCACCATCGTGTGAAGGCGAATTGCAGAGCCAATTAATTTTTCAACCACTTATGCTTAAAAGACCAACCATTTTTCATGGGGATATTATATAATTTGCCTGTCTTAAAAACATCATGAATCAGTTTTTTTTGTTTCTGAATAATTCATACCTTTTAATTCATACTTAATTTTTTTGTCGAGCAACATGAATGACTTCTTAAACCCTCTTAAAAACTGCGGTGTCAACAGAATAATGCTTTAATGGCATTGAATAAAATAAAAGAGGCACAAAATGGTTAACTTTAAAGGTATTGCCACGAACAACAGATCCCTTAAAACTAAATAAAATATTGACTGGATCATTTTTAATTACCTTTACCAACCAAGGCTGAATCCTGGAGTTAAACAGTATTTTTTGACATCATCATCATCATCATCATCAGCCTGTCACGCCACTGCTGGCGGATGGCCTCAAACCTTTCTCCACTCTTCTCGTCTTGGGCTCTCTGGGCCCGCTCCACATGCTTCCCGCTCTCTGCTCGATGTCATCTCTCCATCTCCTTTTGGTCTTCCTTGCCTCTTTTCTTGTCCCACGGGTCCATTCAGTTGTTTTCTTTGCCCATTCATGGTTTTTCATTCGGGCTAGACTTACTTCTCAATAATCAATATTAATAGTGTAAATTTTGCAGCACAATACAGAAGAAAGACGGAGAGTACAGGGAAATTGTACAATAATTAAGCAATTTCCAGTTACAGATCGGCAAATAATGTAACTGACATGCCATAATCATAAATTTATGACAACATTAAACAGAGACAAACTATGACAGCAGTTTGACAAAACACTACATTCATGAATAAAGATGCCATAATGTATAGTTTGAAGTAAGTGCCATAATGACTAATCTTATTATAACAACTTCTCACACAATCATCTGTATTGAAACTATTTTAAATCCGGAATAATAAATTGTATAATGATAATGAACGAAAAATTCCAGAGTATATGCTTAAATAAAGTTACTAATGTCATTTCGCCTTAAGGCCGTACATTTCATCGTTTCTTCAAATACGCTAGAAAGAATGTAAACTTCTGCTGCTATATCTGCGGTCAAGATTCTCAGCAGAAACCACAGCAAATAACTTTTCGGTAGGAACAATTTTGGCCACATCAAGCTGCTTATCGTAGTCGTACACCAGACAGTATCTCCTCGCGATTATTATTTCGAAATAAAGAACGAGTTTCACTAAAATCATTCATTTGTAATGAAAATATAACATCACTGCCAAATGTTGCCTCTGAGTAAATGTATTATAGCTTTAATAACAGCGCAAAGAAATCGTGTTGGTGTTAAAGTTCTTCTTCAAGATAAATTGAGATAATGTGTTGAGTTTACATACAGCAAATCAGTGAGTCCGTTCTTTAAGCTTCTCCGTCTAGGAACCTATCAATAAACACCGTCTATGTCTTGAATTTTACGAAATTTTACTCCACATTAGTCAAAAAGCCAGTAACCGTTAGTCAAAATATTTATTGACCAACGAGAGAGCTTCTTATAAGCCTTAGATTAATCAAAATTGAGAAAACCACTGCTTTTTGAATATTTCATTACGGGCGCAATGTGCAATATCTGATCGGCGTTTGAGTCAGCGACTGGAGCGTGAATCAATTGCACTCCTAATAAATACGTCATTGGAATTCAGGGGTCGGTTGGACGAAGCCTGGATAGCGTCATCCATTGGATAGCGAAAATTTTCAAAGTAGTAAAAGAGGTGTTTGTATTATTCTTACGAAAAAATTTTGTAATCTTCGAAACAATGTTTTATTTCAGTAATTGCACAGTTTTAGGGAATGTATATACATAAAGAAGTAGAAAATACACAGGTGAGCAAATTTTGCTATTCTTATACGGCAATTTCAAACAAAAATAACACAGCACAAGTCGATATTCGTCAGTTGGAGTTTGGGCAGTGAATGTATTGTGCCCAAGTTATTGCAACTATCTTTATTGATTAAAGCGACTTAAAGGCATGAGAAAGTGTCTTAGGGCAAGTCAATTGCTACTTTAATTTGCTGTTATTGAACTTTGAGTAAACATTGTTTGTATACTGGCAGATGTCATGTATTAATTCTGGAAGATCTATTGAATACATGATAAGACAACAATTTAAATTTGCTGAGTTATAAAAACAGAATTCATAATATCATTATATAATGCTATTGCTGTTTAAAAATCTATAATAATTTTAGCCAAGATGTTACTAGTTGATTGTAAACTATTTTGCACAACCCTCGATTAACTGCTGTTTTGCAGAACAGAACTACATTATTCTATTTAGAAACTATGACTTTTATGATTGAAGTGTATTAGTTCCTCTGACATATGTCATTGCTTCTTGCTGCATGAAAGACAAATTATATAAAATGTCAATCAAGATATTTATTCAACAAGTTTCATATATATTGCGCATTATATGTAATATTTTGGCATTGTGTAATCACATTTGGACTAAAAATTTGTTGAAGCAGCTAAAATCAACAAAGACACAATCACAATGCCACTCATTTGCACAAGTTAATCTACATTTGCATCAAGTCTACCTCTAAAATCATTTTATGTTGAAAAGCTGAAATAATATTATTTTTAGGAGTTTAAGGATATATATTTTGATTTGCAACAAAGAATTGATATAATATTTGCAAGAAGAGGAGCATTAGAAGTTTAAAAGAAATTAGAAGTGTGGTAAGATCATTAAGTGAGAGGTAATTGCTGTTCAACAAGGAAATACTTTTCAATTCGCAAAGAATGTACAAACCTTTAACCTATAAATATAAACCATAATATACCCAACCTTTCATTATAATAAAATTTTTCAACTCTTAAGCCAAATAAAATCAATACATTCAATAAATCAATGCTAAATTATTCTAAAATAATTCTAGACTTGATGCAAGTTTAAGGGACTCTGCAATTTATCATCTCAAATTTATTTCAATAAATCATTTTAGATATATCCACGTCATCTTCTCCAGACGAACAGTTTTTCCTTCTTCTGAAGTCAACGCTATTACAACTAATGCATCCCACGAGAATCCTGTTTAACCTTGGAGTATAACAAGTGGGTGTGTGTTGATTGTTGTTATGTAAGGCAAGAAAAAACTCAACATACTTACACACAGACTTGAGAAACATAAATCTCAAGGCTTAAATCTTAGCTTAAATAGTCGTTCGCAAGTCGTCTCTTCATACGTTTGGTTTACGAAATCTTTGTTTATTTGTCGTTTTTCCTTGTGATTTTGTCCGTTTGACAAAAGGAAAGGTCTTTTTGCTCAGACCGTGTTGTTTAAATGATTTAATATCATGCAATAACGCAATAAATTAAAAATTTTGGTATAGTTGTAACTTGTATTACTGCACCACTCTTCACTCCCCCATAATGGCGGACAATCAAATTTTTTGACGTAGTGGTGACGTGCGTGCAAACACTATATATCATTAGCCCTCTTGTTCCGCCTTCTTAGATTATTCAAGATAGCCACAGCCGCTATTCATACGTCAGCAATCTATGTTTTATTATATCATATTTATAGTTTTATGCTACTGTTTCACACGGTCGCAAATCATACCATAAGCACAATATTATTTGTGATGACTATGTTTATTAAGGCATAACCATTATTTATAAGTATATCCATCATATTATATTATTTCTAAATTAACTAGCACAATATTCATTTACTAGACATAAAACTGATACGCTTCATTTCAGTGCTTTTTTTACTTTAGTGTCTTTCGTTGTGGAAGATAAGTCTAACATTTTTTAAAATGAACAAGTGGTGTTGTGCTTATAAATCTAACTTACAAAAAATTTAACGTAGGCAATAGACTAAGTTAGCTATATTGGAATCACATAAGAAAGTGCAGGCGGGATAATAGCAGATTAAAATCTTAGAATTAAGAGCTAAATTCTAGGAGGAAGGGAACGAACATAAAAGCTAAAGTATAGGTAGGAAGCAAAATTAAGTGACATCACATTGTTGGTAACCACACCATTTACACGGATATTCTTCCTTCCAGGTATTTTTATTCCTACACCAATGGCTTGAGCAACAGTATTATTACATCCTGAAACAGAGAAAACACAAATTTGCAGTTACTTTAGAAATGAAGACTGATCTTTCAAAATTAATTCCAATTATTCTTGCAACTTATCCGCCTAAATTTGTGTTGAGTACCAATAAACTCAAAGGGGATGCAGCATTAACAAAATATTTTTATTTTAAAACATTTGAATGTAGATGGAGTTTGTCAAGCAATCATTTTTTAAAAGTCATTTTACCTGCATGGTCTGTTAACAGAAACAATACCAAAACGATCCTGAATGAAATATACATCTCCAACGATGAATCCACTTTCGTAACATCCCGATGAAAAATTTGGCAGCTGTGTGTGCATCCATAGTTTTGTAAAAGAATTTAAAAAATATGATGCTGAAATATTCAAGAGTTTTGACCGAAAAATAAACTGATGCTCGTGATCTTTATCATGACTTGCTGATGAGGAGCTTCCACTTATGTTTCCAAGAAATATCTATCCGATACCAGTACATCCAAGGTTTGGGTTACCACCTATACGACATTCCGTTTCAGCATAGCCCAAATCGTTTCGTGATTTGAGATAGTATTTTTTTGATCGCTAGAAAAGCAGTGCGTTGATGTAAACGTAATTTATCAGCAACAAAAATTAAACTAGATGATATATAATTAAGTTTTCTATTTTTAAATATTTTTACGTTGAACAAGATTTCTCATGAGTTTCGACACAATCGTCAAATAAAATCGGTCCTTAAAACAAAACAGTTATATACTTTCAAAAATTAATGCACACATAGCTACAAACTCTGATTTAATTAAAAATACTTTTTCATAAAAATGGAGCATTGATTATTCTCGTGGATGGCCATATTAGTAAAATGACAGACATCTATCAAACCTTTTATGTGTTGCATGAAAAATACTATTAATATTTACATAAAAATCATAGCTAAATACTGACGAAAAGCACATTACGATTTTGGACTTATTTTCTTCATTTTGTCCAGTCAAACACACACAATCTCATCGCTATTAATCACACCCACAGTCACTGAGTATGACTATTATTACCAATGTGTATATATACTGTTTTTTAAAAATTTAATTAAAATATACAATTATAACTCTATAATGGATACTATATGCTAAACACTACATATTTCACGAATTACTCAGATGTTTTAACTATAAAACTGTGGAACTAATTGGTACTATCAGTTGACAAAATACGTAAACTTAAAGAACAAAAAAATGGACGTACGTTTAACTTGTTTTACTGAATGCTGTATGAAACTGTAGAAATTTAATCAGAAATTTTATCTGGACGTATTTCATTTTAGCACAACAAAAAACATAAAACCAAGAGCATAGTATATCGGATTTGAAAATTGATTAAATCCACAATGATTTCAGAAAAGCAAGAGCAGTAAACTTGTTCAAATTGTATTGGGAGCTGATTTCATGAGCCCGGGTAGCCGGGATTCAGCCAAGCGTTAAATGATTTAGGCAAATGGACACAATTCAATACTCGTCTCAGATAAATTTTCCCTAAAAATTTTACAATATTATGAGTTAATAACTACGAAAAACATTTAAAATTACAATAACCAATTTGGCTTAATTTATGGATTTCAGCAAGAATGACTTGTGGCGCTTAACAACAGTTGTAATTTTTTGCTTAAAGTTTTGCCTTTTTTAAATGCCTTACAATTATTTCACGCCTTACTGACTCCCGTTTAGTCGGGATCTTGTAAACAGCCGTTAGTTTTCCAGTTCACCATTTTTTGAGCCATGGTTGGATTCCTTTATCAATAACATAAAGTGTGCTTGTGATATTTACCCAAACGCAAAGAAGACACCTCATAGTTAAATGCTCAAACAGTCATATAAAATAAGCAATATAAATATACTGGCGTATATTTTATTGATACACATAGAAAACATATCTTACTTGTTCAATCGATGACCCTGAATGTCAATAGAAAACCAGGTCGAGGTACAATATTATCAGAAGAGAATTTCACATGAACATTTCCGTTTTAAAATCAGCGGGTACTATTGAATGCCGAAAAGCCGCAGGTATGATTTGACGTAACACCATCTGACAACCTGTCCCATACAAAAGTGCTGTACAATACATAATTACAGTCACATAGTTAGTAAGTAACAAGCCAAAACAATGGACACGAAACTCGCGATGTGTTTTCAATCATAGAGTTTGCAACAATAATTTAAAGTGTAAGTCAATAAAGAATGCAACTAAGTACGAAGCGTGTAAGAGGAAATTTGTTACAACTGAACACTTTTACAAACGACAAGTAAAGTACTGCATTTTTCCTCATAACGTCTTGCTTGTAATAGCATGCAATCTTTTACTAAAGTTGTATGTAAAAAGCACAGATTTTAACAACACAAAAGTAATTTTAGTTTTTTCAACCTTATTTTGAAACTGCTAGATCATGTAGCATTTTCTCGAAAACAAAAATTTCCTCCACAGTGTTTTCATATGTATTACATCTGCTAGTATGTATGTAAATAAACGACGATTGCTTCGCAAAACTTTCGTCACTAATTGCTCGCGCTCTTGTTAAAGAAAAGGGAATAAACACAGATCACTGGCCTAAATATTTCATTGTAATGCAATAGACGTTAAAATCTTTAAATTGTGAAACTTTACTGAAGTCATTGTAAATGCATTTCAATATTGATGAGTTATTCACAAAAAAATAAACAAAGCGAGTTGACTCATTGGTTTCCAGTAGCTTATGCAATCCTAAAAACAAAACACATTTAATGAGTAATAAGGCCCCTACAGTTATTCGGAAATTCGAGTGTTTCAGGAAATCTTCACTTAAAACCCTAGTTTGATCATACACACTCGATCTTTAGAAATATGAACTGTGCGTTGTTATGGCAACCATGTTTTATTTTCCTTTACACATTTATTATACAGTTTTAAAAGAATTGACTGCATCTTTTTTGGTACGGAGAATTTTCCTAATATTTTGTGCGACGATTGTTAATCATTCAAAGAACATTATGGTTAGCATAGAATTACTTCTACGAATAATTATTTTAAATATTTGAGAATTTCGGTTACATTAAAACTTATTTGTAGATTATGTTCTATTTTTCATGTGTTATAATTTTTATTGTATTGAGCATTCACGCGAAATTTTCACAAAACCTATCAAAGGAAAAAGAAAAGAATTATCAATACATTCACCACGGCCAGGTTAATAATTGAGATATTAAACCTCACTGCAATGTTTAGGGGCTGCCTTATTGTCAAAGTACAGGTCCTACTTCCTGAGCCATTAGGATAGTTTGGAGACACAACAGTCCTATTGAACTTATTGATAAAGCAGAACAGATATTGATTCCCGGCTCTAAAACAGAAATAAATTTCAGAGGAATTGTTTTTACAATAATAACGAAATTGAATTTTTCTAAAAATGACCAGAGCTTTAAGTAACATACACACACTTAAATTATTTTTACACATTAATTAAATGTTTATATAACCAAATTTAAAAGTACGACCCTTACCATTTGCACCAATTCTGCTTGTTGAGGTAGGTGTGGCTGTAGAACAAACAGTACATATATATTGTCCCTCAATTGTCATTATATTGCAAGTTCTGCATTTCATTTAAATAAAACTGGTATGTACTTTGTATAACAAAATTAAAACAATTATTTTTTTTAACAAGCAAAAGTCTATGGATTTAAAGTTATAAAAAAAGATTCACAAATAAGAGACTCGTACCATAATAGATCATTGCATGAGGGTAAAGTATGGGTAAGGGATAAAATTAAAAGACGTATGTCCTTCATTTGCAACACGAGTTAAAAAGAGTAACAAATAAGCTCTTTTAAATTTTTATATATATTTACTGTAGGAAATCATCGGATTTGGGGAAATGGTTGCTGTAGTATCTATAAAATTGAAATTTTATAGAAAATCGTTTAAAAGTAAAAGGAAAAGGCGTCATCTCTATACGACCATCTAATAAGATTGTTACTAAAAATGAGTTTTTTGATTCAAAAGTTAACAAATTTAAAAACTATAGAGAATTGTTAAAACCTGTGTGCAAGAATGTTGCATGGTTACAACGTTCGTAGCAATTGCTACAACGAAAAAATACAAAACTAGGTTCATTAAATGTTTTAACTCTTTAAAAAACAATGTTTTACGTACAAGTCAATGCTTTTTTGCTAAAATCGTTCTTTTATTAAGATTTGCGATAGTTTTTATTTATCGTTTAGGGATAATTTGACTGGTTAACAACGATTGAAATTTATTAAAAACTTTATTTAGACGTCAAAAAAAAACCATTCATCATTTTATCTTTATTTTTACCAAAGAAACTTTAGGCTATTATTTATTAAAAACACAAATCTTAAAAAAATTCAAAGGTAAAATTCTTACCAGTTCCCCCAATCGTACTATTGAAATCAGATGTAACTGGAAAACAAACAATAAACGCGTTTGAGGAGACTCTTCACAAGTCAATTAGTTCTGTTCTTAAATAGGAAGTTAGTACAAAATATGACAACAACTAGTTTGTTTTTAACAAGCAAAACTCTAAGGATTAAAAATTTTTAAAAAAGATTCACAAATAAGAAACTCGTACCATAATAGATCATTGCATGAGGGTAAGGTATGGGTAAGTGATAAAATTAAAAGACGTATGTCCTTCATTTGAAACACGAGTTGAAAAGAGTAACGAATAAGCTCTTTTAAATTTTTATATATACTTGCCGTAGGAAATCGTCGGAGTTGGGTAAATGGTTGCTGTAGTACCTATAAAATTAAAATTTTATAGAAAATCGTTTAAAAGTAAAAGGAACGTGCGTCATCTCTATACGACTGTCTAATAAGATTGTTGATAAAAATGAGTTTTTTAATTCAAAAGTTAACAACTTTAAAAACTACAGGGAATTGTTAAGAACTGTGTGCAAGAATGTTGCATGGTTACAATGTTCGTAGCAATTGCTACAACGAAAACATACAAAACAAGGTTCATTAAATGGTTAACTCTTTGAAAAACAGTGTTTTACGTACAAGTCAAAGCTTTTTTGCTAAAATCTTTCTTTTCTTGAGATTTGCGCCAGTTTTTATTTATTGTTTAGGGATAATTTGACTGGTTAACAACGATTAAAATTTATTAAAAAATTTTTAAGACGTCAAATAAAACCATTCATCATTTTATCTTTATTTTTACCAAAGAAACTTTAGGCTATTATTTGTTAAAAACACAAATCTTAAAAAAATTCAAAGGTAAAATTCTTACCAGTTCTCCCAATCGTACTATTGAAATCAGATGTAACTGGAAAACAAACAATAAACGCGTTTGAGGAGACTCTTCACAAGTCAATTAGTTCTGTTCTTAAATAGGAAGTTAGTACAAAATATGACAACAACTAGTTTGTTTTTAACAAGCAAAACTCTAAGGAAGAAAAATTTTTAAAAAAGATTCACAAATAAGAAACTCGTACCATAATAGATCATTGCATGAGGGTAAGGTATGGGTAAGTGATAAAATTAAAAGACGTATGTCCTTCATTTGAAACACAAGTTGAAAATAGTAACAAATAAGCTCTTTTAAAATTTTATATATACTTGCCGTAGGAAATCGTCGGAGTTGGGTAAATGGTTGCTGTAGTACCTATAAAATTAAAATTTTATAGAAAATCGTTAAAAGTAAAAGGAACGTGCGTCATCTCTATACGACTGTCTAATAAGATTGTTGCTAAAAATGAGTTTTTTAATTCAAAAATTAACAAATTTAAAAACTATAGGAATTTTAAAACCTGTGCGCAAGAATGTTGCATGGTTACAATGTTTGTAGCAATTGCTACAACAAAAAAAAACCAGGCTCATTAAATCTATTGCCTCTTTAAAAAACGATGTTTTCCGTAAAAGTCAATTCTTTTTTTTTTCTGCAACCGTTTTTTTATTGAGAATTGCGCTAGTTTTCATTTGTTGTTTAGGGATAATTTGACTAGTTAACAAAGAGTAAAATTTATTAAACATTTTATTTATACATCAAAAAAACCATTGCAGTTCTTTTTTCTTGATAGAAAATACGAGAAATACTTCTTAAAAATCATGTAATTTCGTAAATCCAACAACACTCATCATTATATATAATAACTTACTGATAAAACGTGGTTCGGCATAGGTGGGATGGATATCACATGAACCATTAAGAAAAACAAAATCATCTAGAGCAATATCACCCGTAAAGCTGGAGCCACGAACACCTTCAACGATGATCTACAAAAAAAGCTTTTAAGCATTTCTTTTAGCAAGTTTTTAGCAAGATAAAATGCTGTGCGGTGATTCTGATAGACATTGTTTACTTTATTGCATATTCAAACTTTTACAAGGTAGTATGCAAAGTGTACTCAAAAACGATTATGCACTTTAGTAATTTAATGCTAGACATATGCATTTTTTTCACTTTTCATTGCCAAATAAGCAGTTTGAATCTATAAGTGCACTGAGTCTTGAAGTCATGGGTGATTAAAAACATGCAACATCAAGTTTAGTTGCTAAAAAACATTGTTTGATCTTTTAATAGAGAGTGGGTAGAAAATGTGTTGAGCAAAAGTAAGAACGATGTTTTTGAAACCACAAAGGGCAGGCAAAAAGTTGATTTTCAATGTTTTATTGAGAACAAACGAAATTTTGGTCTGGAGACACGTGGCTTACAGGGATATAAGTTTATAACATTTGTGACATGGATATACATTCTAAGACATTAACCTCCTTTATAATTTTACATCAGCATTCAAAATTTAAAAGACGTTACAAGATAAAAAACGTTTAAAAGGGATAGAAAAATGATTTTCTGGGGAAAGGCTACAGCCAAACATTTAACTTGTTGAAGACTTAAGGAAGAGGATGGAATTTTTTGTGAACTGTGAACAAGCAATTGAAAATTTTTCTTGGAACTGTTTATCTTCTCATCTTCCGCCCAACCATTTTATAAATCTAAATAATCTTTCAATGTTGAAACTAAGTGTTTTGGTACTCTGCTATGCAGAGTTTGAGAACATTGATATTTATACTCACCCTCGTTTTTCCTTCGGTAAAGTTGGTTGAAACTTGACCTCTGTTCCATCGATTTCCTCTATTGCCAACTAATGTCCACAACAGCTTTAATTTACCTCCCATATATTGTTGGTATATGTTAAGAGAACCAATTGTTGATCCATACATATGATACCAAAATGTAAAACATTTAATTGTTGTATTAAAGTAGTTGCTAACCAACCATGCTTTATCACCCAGCACACGGGGACTTGATGTTTCAATGTAAATGTATTTTCCTAAAAGACATTTTTAAGCAAGTCAAGAAATTTTCTTTTGTTCTTTTTAACAACACTCTCGTTTCTTGAAACTATAATTTTTTTCAAATTATATTTAAGTCATGGACCTGCATAAGAATTTATATGCATTTCATTTATTGGAATTGACTTCAATTGTTTTGTGGTAAAATAACCATTACAAACAACAGGGTATATGTGCAAATTCCTTAATCTGGGAAGAAAGTCCCCAATCGAAACTAGCCTGAAATGGCAATGTCGACATAGCTCTAATGTCAAAAATGACAAAATATAGTTAAAAACGTGTTTTGGAGGAAGCTAGGTAAAAAAAAGTCCATTGTATGTCAACGAAACAATGTCAATCACTTTTAAATATTGCATGATTACAGTAAATTAAAGAGTTCTTTTTTGTTTCACGTAATTTTTTCTTTAAAAATAAAAAATTCAATCTCTGCCAATAATAATTTTTGATTTATGCAGAATTGACATTTGACCATAATCAGGTCAGGACAATAGTCTTGCTACCGGTAACCCACAAATCCGGTATCACCTGTTGGTGGTTCGGGCGACTCAACTGACAACCCCCCTTTATGGGGAGGATGTACTTGGACATCCATACAGAACTAAAACAATATCTGTTAAAGCCCAGAGGGCGAATCCAAGGTTGCACCGTGGCACCAAACTAAAGGCGGAAATAGACAGACTTATTTTCCGGCCAGCCGCTGCAGAAGGGTGGAAATACTAGCGTGTCTCGACCTGTTCTTGCCCGCTGGATCACTTTTCCTACCTGCCGAAAGAGTGTCCACGGTGTCGCGAAAGCCAGGAGCCACTAAAAATCTTCGAAAGCAGATTTATGGAAATGGCACAGATTACTAACTCTAATACCGGCTCGAACGTCACCCGGGTCAACAAGGTTCGCGCTGGGTTGCTCCCTCCGGCACCCAGTGATAAGTAAGCTAGGAGTTCAAGGTAACAACAGGAAGCGTGTGAGTTTAGCTGAATGGAATGTTAGAACTTTGATGGACAGAGAAGACTCAAAAAGACCGGAACGACAAACAGCATTAGTTGCTAAGGAGCTCAGTAGATATAATATTGATATTGCTGCTCTTTGTGAAACTCGGCTGCCAGAGTATGACAGCATCGTAGAAGAGGGTAAAAGTTTCTGCTGGAGTGGAAAGAAGAAGTTTCTGCATGAGAGAAGAGAATCTGGAGTGGGGTTTGCTATGAAAAAGGCCATAGCTTAGAGCCTTGAGCACGATCCAACACCGATCTCTGTTAGAATCATGAATATGAGATTGCTACTGCTAAAGAAATGTTCCATGACCATTGTGAGTGTATATGCACCGACTTTAACAAAACCTGATGAGAACAAAGAGGAGTTCTATAGTGACCTGAGAGACACAATCAAGAATGTCCCAAACACCAATAAGCTGATAATTGCTGGTGATTTTAACGCTTGAGTTGGGACAGAAGCCGAAAACTGGCCTGACGTGATAGGGTACAGGGCACCGGCAAATGTAACTCCAACGGAGAACTCCTACTGGAATTCTGCTCGGAGTACAGGCTTGTCATCACAAACACTGTCTTCAAACACAAGCCTCATAATCAAACTACTTAGATGCACCCGAGGTCGAAACACTGGCACCTCCTGGATTATGCGATCACTAGAAAGAAAGACCTGCACGATGTCCTTGTCACTAGGGTGATGAGAGGTGCTGAGGGTGAGACCGCTAAGAAGGAGAACCCAAGGAAAGCCTCCATCTAAGCTGAACGTGAGAAAACTAAGGAACCCCAAGTGCCAACAGGAGTTTGAGGAGAAGATGGAAAAGAACCTGGACTACGCAGTAAATGAGGATGCTGGTGTTGAGAAGGAGTGGGAGTTTCTGAAGAGAACTGTGTATGAGACTGCGGAAAGAATTCTTAGAAAGCAGAACGGACACACCAGGATTTGTTTAACGAGGACGATGCTAAGCTAAAGGCACTGCTTCATGAAAGGAGCGAGGCAAAAGCACAAGAACTACAACGTAAAACCCGTGCGACCACCGGTCGCCTTGCCAGAGCACGCAGCGAACTTCAAAAGTACACTCGGAACATGAAGTCAAAATGATGGGAAGAGAAATTGAAAGATTACAACAAGCAGCGGATCTAAACGACATGAAGGCATTTTATAACGGCCTAAGGGAGATCTACGGACCACGCAGGAAAGGAACAACTCAGCTTCTAGCCCAAGATGGTGTGACAGTGCTGCAAGAAAGGAGGAGACCCTGAACCGTTTTGCTCAGCACTTTCTCCAACTACTGAATGTGCCAGGATCTGTGGTCAGAGATGCTCTAGATGAACTACCAAATATCAGCCCTGATGCAGACATGGATGTTGCTCCGAGCTTTGATGAACTCTTGACGACAATCACCCGTACCCAGGAAAATAAAGCCCCTGGTGGATGTGGAGTCCCTACCGAGGTCTGGAAGCACGGAGGCTTGAGACTAATGGAGAAGCTGCATGAACTGATATTACATATCTGGAGAGAGGATGTTATGCCACAAAATTGGAAGAATGCTAACATTGTTCCCATCTTTAAAAAGAGCAGTAAGAAAGAATGTGGCAATTACAGGTAAATCTCTCTCCTTTCGATTGCTGGAAAGATCATGGCGCGTGTGATCCTCAACCGTTTAGAGAAGTACATATGTACCCGGATACTACCTGAGACACAGTGTGGTTTTCGGAGAAATCGAAGTACTATTGATATGGTCTTTTGCCTCCGCCAAATTCAAGAAAAATTTAACGAACAGAATATGGAGCTCTATGCTGTATTTATTGACTTTACCAAAGCCTTTGATATAGTCTCAAGGAAGCACTATGGAGTGTGCTGAAGAAGTTTGGCTGCACCGACAAGGTTGTAAACCTGGTGAGGGAGCTTCATGATGGTATGCAGGCAAAAGTAATTCAAGGGAAAGATATTTCAGCAGAATTTGCCGTGACGAATGGTGTGAAGCAAGGCTGCGTTCTTGCTCCAACATTATTCTCGCTCTACCTGACAAATATGCTGCATGTGGCTTTTAAAGACATTCACAAAGGGATTTACATCCAGACAAGACACATTGCAGATCTCTTCAATGTCTCCCACTTCAAGGCCAAATCACGAACAACAAAACACCTTGTCAGAGAGATACTGTTTGCGGACGACAGTGCTCTGGTGGCTCACACTGCATCGGCATACAGTTGCTTGTTAACAGATTATCAAAGGCTGATACCCAGTTCCGCCTTAAGATATACATCAAGAAAACAGAGTGCTTGTATCAGCCGATCAAACTTTACAATCCCTCTCCTGAGCCACAAGACATCACCATCGATCAAATCCCGCTTGCCCAAGCCACGGACTTCACATATCTTGGAAGCATTGTTTCCAGCTTTTCAAAAATAGAGAAAGAGCTGAAGGCCAGAATAGGGAAGGCAAGTACAGCATTTGGCAAGCTCCAGAAAAGACTGTGGAACAATAGGTATGTGACAATCAGAGTAAAATGCAAAATCCACAGAGCTGTGGTGTTATCAACCCTCCATTATGGAGCAGAAACCTGGACCATCTACAGAACTCAGGTAAAGATATTACATGCTTTCATGATGAGACAGCTGAGAGATATCATGAGCATCAAATGGCAGGACAAGATCACGAATGTTGAAATCCTGAAACGTGCTAACCTCCACTCGATGGCAGATACTCTGATAGAAAGAAACCTTCGTTGGCTGGGGCACATACACAGGATGGATCAGGAAAGACTCCCAAGACAACTGCTGTTCTCACAACTATTCGAAGGGAAGAGAAACCAAGGAAGACGGCCGCAAGCAACAGAGCGGCTTGAAGATCGGCCATCAAAAGCAAACCCAAACCATAAACAGTCTTAGTCGTACCGACTGACTGCCCGGAGAGAGGACATTTGACCAGAGTAGTGATTTTCTCAATATATATTGATCTTAGGGATGCAAAAACTGTTTGTAAAATGCCAATGACAAAATCAGTTGGATTTCTTCTGGAGACATAAAAAGTATGTAGGATAGTAAAGAAGTGACCATTTCACTAATTTTTCTGTACTTTTGGAAACAGTAAATGAAAAGACATGGGTTCGACTGCATTATATAAAAAACTAATCAAATTTTCCTTTAATTATAGCGATGGGATAATATTGTTGGGAAGACTATTCCATGTGAAATATCCTTAGTACGAGACAGATATTTGCATAAATTCGGTATTTGGTTTACCAACCAAAACTTTGCTATCATTATTTCTAGGTATATATCCTTAAGTAGATAAATTATCCTGGGCATTTCTGTGATACATCCTCTGAGATTATCTATTATACATCATGAAAGATATTCATTGCCTTAATTGTTGCGTTTGTTAAGAATTTTTTCATGGGCTACAAACTGATGCTTTAAACAAATTCTTTGCTTTACCTCATAATTTGATCATGTATAATGACGGGAGAAACTTTTTGCATTTTAAAACGCTTTTCAATGCTCGCACGATTACTCACCGAACCATACATTTTAATGATATAAATAGCAAACAAAAGAGTCGCACATATTAATCCACACGTTTTGTGCCTCAAGCTGTCTAAATAATCTCACCAGAGCAACGCATTTCGTAATCTCTCTGCAATAAATATCATTAATACCGTTCCATTTCAATTTTTCATTCAAATTTATGCAAAAACTGTTTCACCTGAATAATCATGTAATTCCTAATTACAATATGGGTCTTTCGTAACATGCCAATGTTTCCTTTCAGAAGCTGACAGGAGGCAATCAATTTTGTTGGTATTTCGTGTAGTTTATGTACATATAAGTAGTTATAATAACCAAACAGGAATGAAAATTTATGTTTTCTCTGCATATCATAGCGATGTTCAACACTTGAAACTGTTGGCCAAGCACTTAGGCTGTCTTCTTTTTAATGTGTATTCTAGCACTTTCTTCCAATCTACATGGCACTGATCTTACTGGGGAAGCGACTTGTTTAGCGCTATAACCAACATAGAGTTTAAATTCATGGTCTTTGAACATACTAAATCTCTCGAAATTTTGTAGATATCTCTGTAAGACGTCTTGGAGCGCATTCTTGCTGGTACACCAGATATAATGTTTTAGTTGGTTAACTTTCCAGTGCGCTGTACTTTCTCCTAAATTTACTGTTTCAACTAATTTATGAATTATTTGACAGTCAACTTTGATCTAAGTTGAACCGCTTGTGATACTTCATTTTTTGATTCCTATTATTGGCACTGTTTGGCTACCGCATAGCTTGACTTTTGTCAAAATTGAATTTTGAACTGTAATATCCATCTGATTTGCCAAATGTTGTAAAATACTCATTGACGTTTAGCGCAAAAAAAAACCAGATGGTATGTAAAATTAGGATTTCGTTTGACACGTCGCCGTATCCTTTTTGGATTCACCATTGTCCGCAACGTTTTAGTTCCCTAACATTCGTATTTTATAAAATAACCACAGTGTTATTTGCCGTTCTTCGTCGCTAATGTCGCCATATAGCTGCTAATTTCTTTGATCATTGCATATGTACGTTTCCAAAGAGGTTTTCATTGGATCAATACATGTTTAACATATCAAATTTGAAAGCTTTGGATAAATTTGTCGAAAGAGGGTAATGTCCGGCTGGATGTGGAAACGAAGTAAAATATAATGTTGATGTGCTTAGTTCGTACTTTCCATAATTATCGATATTTCAGCATGGATGCTATAGAGTTTATATATCTTCTAATGCGCATTTTTTAAATTATTTTTCGTTTATGTTCGTCGTGAAGTGTAAGTAGTTTTTCTTTTGTACATAGTTAAATAAAAATTCATTTTCATCCAAGCGTACCTTTTTTTACTGTCTCTTAGCTACCTCTTAATATTTTGTCTTGTTCAACATTAACATAATATATATTGTTAAAAAGAAGAATGTTTTTATATTAGGCTTCATTAGTTGAAATATTGCATTAAAAACGCTTTATCAAAGTAACAAAAAATCGGCAATGTATACTGTCGATCGTAGAATTATTTGTTATAAACAGCAAACGTGATGCTTCATGCATTAAATAACAACACTGCTTGCTAGCTAGCAATACATAAATGCAAAAAATTATGCTTGACTTTTTGTGCCACAATTGGTTACTAACCAATGAGAATGTTTGCTAATCTTCTCAATGGCGTGTTGTTGGTAATGTTTTAAACTTTATAAAATTACTAACGTTTTCTGTACAAATAGACGTCTTTTGCCTTAAATGCATCATGCATCGTTATGTGATTATATAGAATCTGTGTTCGTCTAAAAGGAAATCTTCTTCTACTAAAAACAATAGACCTTAAAATCTAATCTTATTTATTGGAGTGTAGATAAACTTTTCTTAATTACTTGTTTTAATACATATAGAAAAAATTAGAATCTATTAAAACAATCTGAGAAGAAAAGCGGCGTTTGTTAGAAAATTTTAATAGTGTACGGTTGCTCAGTCGTGGTTTCACGATTATTCTTAACTCATGAAAAAGTGTATGTAGATGTAGCTGTGTTAGGGAAAATAATAGGAATAGTTACTTAATGCTTGCTTCTTTGTATGTACTCTATTTAATATCGTAATTGCCCACTATGAAGTAATATCGCTCATTTTGGCTAAAATACTTCCCCGGCTGCACTTAATTTCCTCAATAATAACACCCTTTTAAAATAATTTCTGAAATTGAATAAAATTTTGGAAAGCTATGTCAACTGAAATGGAATTTTACATGGAATTACAACTAAGATTTTATATAAATCAAATAAATTTAGGTGCTATCGTCACTTTAGACGCTTTTAATTAAGTCCAACGTTTTATTTAAAGATAACTTACAAAACAAGTACTTTAACAAAAGACTTACCAGTAATCGATCCTCTTCTGTCTGAGCTAGGTCCAGTGCTCGAACTTAGTGTTGAGCCTGAATGGATGGTCCAATCAAAGTTGTCAAGTGGATAATTAACATTTTTCCATGTGCATCTGGAATTGTCAATGCCATTTTCAAAGGTACAACTACCTATTCAAGTGAAAAGTATTTTTTATATAATCCCCTCTTAGAATAAATCAATTTAATGAATTGTAAGTTTCAAATCCGTGATTATAAATATCACAAGAAGTACAGTTTATAAAAAAGCAGAAGAATGTTCAAACTTGGATATTGAATAAATGGACTCAGAGTTAAAGAAATACGATTTTTGATTATTGTACTTTCGAACTTTTATTAAAAGATTTATATGTTGACAAGAATGAATGTGAATTTTACCGACTTTCCTATCGCTCATAATGAACAAACACGATTGCATAAAAAAAGCACTTTTTATTCATGTTTATAAAAACATTATTCTATCTTTATTTTTACAAAAGAAATTTAGCGTATTTTTTCTTGAAAACAAAAATGTTGAAAAATTCAAAAGTAAAATTCTTATCAGTTCTGCATAGTACTATTGAAATCAGGTGTAACTGGAAAACAAACAATAAACGCGTTAGAGGAAACTCTTCACAAGTCAATTAATTCTGTTCTTCAATAGGAAGTTGGTACAAAAAAATGAAAACAACTCTTTTGTTTTTAACAAGCAAAACTCTAAGGATTAAAAATTTTTAGAAAAGAGTCATAAATAAGAAACTCGTACCATAATACATCATTGCATAAGGGTAAAGTATGGGTAAATGATAAAATTAAAAGATGTATGTCCTTCATTTGACACACGAGTTGAAAAGAGTAACGAATAAGCTCTTTTAAATTTATATATATACTTACCGTAGGAAATCATCGGAGTTGGGGAAATTGTTGATGTAGTATCTATAAAATTGAAATTTTATAGAAAATCGTTTAAAAGTAAAAGGAACATGCGTCATCTCTATACGACTATCTAATAAGATTGTTGATAAAAATGAGTTTTTTAATTCAAAAGCTAACAAATTTGATAACTATAGGGAATTGTTACAACATGTGTGCAAGAATGTTGCATGGTTACAATGTTCGTAGCAATTGCTACAACAAAAAAAGACAAAACTAGGTTCATTAAATCTAATGCCTCTTTAAAAAACAATGTTTTCCGTAAAAGTCAAAGCTTTTTTTCTGAAACCGTTTTTTTATTTAGATTTGTGCTAGCTTTCATTTGTTGTTTAGGGATAATTTGACTAGTTAACAAAGACTAAAATTTATTAAAAATTTTATTTATATATCAACAATAACCATTGCAGTTCTTTTTTCTATATAGAAAATACGAGAAATACTTCTTAAAAATCAAGTAATTTCATAGTAAATCCAGCAACACTTATCATTATATAAAATAACTTACCGATAAAACGTGGTTCGGCATAGGTGGGATGGATATCACATGAGCCATTAAGAAAAACAAAATCATCTAGAGCAATATCACCCGTAAAGCTGGAGCCACGAACACCTTCAACGATGATCTACAAAAAAAGCAATTAAGCATTTTTTTAGCAAGTTTTCAGCAAGATAAAATGCTGCACGGTGATTCTGATAGACATTGTTTACTTTATTGCATATTCAAACTTTTACAAGTTAGTATGCAAAGTGTACTAAAAAATGATTATGCAATTTAGTAATGTAATGCTAGATATATGCATTTTTTCACTTTTCATTGCCAAATGAGCAGTTTGAATCTATAAGTGCACTGAGTCTTGAAGTCATAGGTGAATAAATACATGCAACATCAAGTTTAGTTGCTAAAAAAGATTGTTTGATCTTTCAATAGAAAGTGGGTAGAAAATGTGTTGAAAAAAGTAAGAACGATGTTTTTGAAACCAGAAAGGGCAGCCAAAAAGTTGATTTGCAATGTTTTATTGAGAACAAACGAAATTTTGGTCTGGAGACACGTGGCTTACAGGGATATAAGTTTGTAACATTTGTGACATAGATATACATTCTAAGACATTAATACTCCTTTATAATTCTACATTAGCATTCAAAATTTAAAAGACGTTACAAGATAAAAAAAACTTTTAAAAGGGATAGAAAAATGATTTTCTGGGGAAGGCTACAGCCAAACATTTAACTTGTTGAAGAGTTATGGAAGAGGATGAAATTATTTGTGAACTGTGAACAAACAATTGAAAATTTTTCTTGGAACTGTTTATCTTCTCATCTCCCGCCCAACCATTTTAGGAATCCAAATACTCTTTCAATGTTGAAACTAAGTGTTTTGGTACTCTGTTATGCAGAGTTTGAGAACATTGATATTTATACTCACCCTCGTTTTTGCTTCGGTAAAGTTGGTTGTAACTTGACCTCTGTTCCATCGATGTCCCCTATTGCCAACTAATGTCCACAACAGCTTTAATTTACCTCCCATATATTGTTGGTATATGTTAAGAGAACCAATTGTTGATCCATACATATGATACCAAAATGTAAAACATTTAATTGTTGTATTAAAGTAGTTGCTAACCAACCATGCTTTATCACCCAGCACACGGGGACCTGATGTTTCAATGTAAATGTATTTTCCTAAAAGACATTTTTAGGCAAGTCAAGAAATTTTTTTTAACAACACTTTCGTTTTTTGAAACTACATTTTTTTTAAAATTTTATTTAAGTCATAGACCTGCATAAGAATTTGTATACATTTCATTTATTGTAATTGACTTCAATTGTTTTGGGGTAAAATAACCATTACAAACAACAAGGTATATGTGCAAATTCCTTAATCTGGGAAGAAAGTCCCGAATCAAAACCCGCCTGAAATGGCAGTGTCGACATAGCTCTAATGTCAAAAATGACAAAATATAGTTAAAAACGTGTTTTGGAGGAAGCTAGGTAAAATAAAGTCCATTGTATGTCAACAAAACAATGTCAATCACTTTTAAATAATGCATGATTACAGTAAATTAAAGAGTTCTTTTTTGTTTCACGTAATTTTTTCTTTGAAAATAAAAAATTCAATCTCTTCCAAGAATAGTTGTTGATTTATGCAAAATTGACATTTGACCAGAGTGGTGATTTTCTCAATATATATTGATCTTAGGGATGCAAAGACTGTTTGTAAAATGCCAATGACAAAATCCGTTGGATTTCTACTAGAGAAATAAAAAGTATGTACGATAGTAAAGAAGTGAAATTGTTTTGTACTTCTGGAAACAGTAAACGAAAAGACATGGGTTCGACTGCATTATATAAAAAAAACAATCAAATTTCCCTTTAATTAAAGCGAGGGGATAATATTGTTGGGAAGACTATTCCATGTGAAATATCCTTAGTACAAGAGAGATATTTGCATAAATTCTGTAATTGGTTTACCAACCAAAACGTTGCTCTCATTATTTCTAAGTATATATGTTTAAGTAGATAAATTATTTCTGGGCATTTCTGTGATATATCCTCTGAGATTATCTATTATACATCATGAAAGATATTCATTGCCTTAATTGTTGCGTTTGTTAAGATTTTTTTCATGAGCTACAAACTGATGCTTTAAACAAATTCGTTGCTTTACCTCATAATTTGATCAAGTATAATGACGGGAAAAACTCTTTTTTTGAATTTTAAAACGCTTTTTAATGCTCGCACGATTACTCACCGAACCATACATTTTAATGATATAAATAGCAAACAAAAGAGTCCTACATATTAATCAACACGTCTTGTGCCTCAAACTGTCTAGATAATCTCACCAAAGCAACGCATTTCGTAATCTCTCTGCAATAAATATCATTCATAGTGATCCATTTCAATTTTTCATTCAAATTTATGCAAAAACTTTTTACCTGCATAATCATGTAATTCCTAATTAAAATATGGGTCTTTCGTAACATGCCAATGTTTCCTTTCAGAAGCTGACAGGAAGCAATCAGTTTTGTTGGCATTTCGTGTAGTTTATTTGCATGTAAGTAGTTATAATAACCAAACAGGAATGAAAATTTATGTTTTTCTCTGCATATCATTGCGATATTCAACACTTGAAACTGTTGGGCAAACACTTAGGCTGTCATCTTTTAATGTGTATTCTAGCACTTTCTTCCAATCTACATGGCATTGATCTTACTGAGGAAGCGACTTGTTTAGCGCTATAACCAACATAGAGTTTAAATTCATGGTCTTTGAACATACTAAATCTCTCGAAATTTTTAGATATCACTGTAAGACGTCTTGGAGCGCATTCTTGCTGGTACACCAGATATCATGTTTTAGCTGGCTAACTTTCCAGTGCGCTGTATTTATCCTAAATTTACTGTTTCAACTAGTTTATGAATTATTTGCTAGGCAACTCTGATATAAGTTGAGCCGCTTGTAATACTTCATTTTTTGATTCCTATTATTGGCACTGTCGGGCTACCTAAAAGCTTGACTTTTGTCAAAATTGAATTTTGAACTGTTATGTCCATCTGATTGCAAAATGTTGTAAAATACTCATTGACATTTTGTGCAAAAAATTAAAACAGATGGTCTTTACTAACATTCGTATTTTTATAAAAATAAACCACAGTGTTCTTTTGTCGTTTTTCGCCGCTTATGTCGCCATATAGCTGCTAATTTCTTTGATCACTGCATATGTACGTTTTCAAAGAGGTTTTCATTGGATCAATACATGTGTAACATATCAAATTTGAAAGCTTTGGATAAATTTGTCGAAAGAGGGTAAGGTCCGGCTGGATGTTGGAACGAAGTAAAATATAATGTTGACGTGCTTAGTTCGTACTTTCCATAATTATCGATACTTCAGCATGGTTGCTCTAGAGTTGATATATCTTCTAATGCGCATTTTTAAATTATTTTTCGTTTATCTTCGTCGTGAAGTGTAAGTGGTTTTTCTTTTGTACATAATTAAATAAAAGTTCATTTTCATCCAAGCATACCCGTTTTTTACTGTCTCTTAGCTACCTCTTAATATTTTGTCTTGTTCAACATTAACATAATTTATATATTGTTAAAAAGAATGTTTACAATAGGCTTCATTAGTTGAAATATTGCATTAAAAACGCTTTAGCAAAGTAACAAAAAATCGGCAATGTATACTGTCGATCGTAGAATTATTTGTTATAAACAGCAAACGTGATGCTTCATGCATTAAATAACAACACTGCTTGCTAGCTAGCAATACACAAATGTGAAAAATAATGCTTGACTTTTTGCGCCACCATTGGTTACTAACCCATGAGAATGTTTGCTAATCTTCTCAATGGTGTGTTGTTGGTAATCTTTTACACTGTATAAGACTACTAATGTTTTCTGCACAAATAAATGTCTTTTGCCTTGTACATCATGCATCGTTAAGTGAATATATAGAATCTTGTGTTTTTCTAAAAGGAAATCTTCTTCTCTTAAAGCACAGTAGACCATTAATTCTCATCTTATTTATTGGAGCGTAGCTCAACTTGTCTTAATTACTTGTTTTAATAGATATAGAAAAAATAGAATCTATTAAAACAATCTGAGAAGAAAAGCGGCGATTGTTAGGAAACTTTCATAGTGTACGGTTGCTCAGTCGTGGTTCCATGATCATTCTTAACTTATGAAAAGTGTATGTAGATGTAACTGTGTTGGGAAACTAATAGGAATAGTTACTTAATGCTTGCTTCTTTGTATGTACTCTATTTATAGTCGGAATTTCCCACTTTAAAGTAATATCGCTAATTTAGGCTAAAATACTTCCCCGGCTGCACTCAATTTCGTCAATAATAACATTATTTATACTCTTTTTAAAATATTTGCGAAAATTGAATAAAATTTTGGAAAGCTATGTCAACTGAGATGGCATTTTACATGGAATTGCAACTAAGTTTTTTGTATAATTCAAAAAAATTAGGTGCTTTCTTCACTTTAGAGTCTTTTATTTAATTCCAGCGTTTTATTTAAGGATAACCATTAAAACATGTATTTTAATAAAAGACTTACCACAAATCGATCCTCTTCTGTCTGAGCTAGGTCCAGTGCTCGAACTTCGTGTTGAGCCTGAATGGATGGTCCAATCAAAGTTGTCAAGTGGATAATTAACATTCTTCCATGTGCATCTGGAATTGTTAATGCCATTTTCAAAGGAACAACTACCTATTCAAATGGAAAGTATTTTTTCATACTCCTCTTTTAGAATTTATCAATTTAATGAATTGTATGTTTCAGAATCCTTCATTATAATTATTACAAGAACAACAGTTTATAAACAAAGCAAAATATGTTCAAACTTGGATATTTAATAAATGGGTTCCAAGTTAAAGAAGATTTTTGATTATTGTACTTTCCAAATTTTATTAAAAGATTTATATGTTGACGATTTCTACTATAGCTCCCAATGAATAAACACGTTTGCATAAAAAAAGGAACACTTTTTATTAATGTTTATACGAATATCATTCTATTTTTATTTTTAACAAAGAAACTTTAGGCTATTATTTATTAAAAACACAAATCTTAAAAAATTTAAAAGTAAAATTCTTACCAGCTCCACCAATCGTACTATTGGAATCAGGTGTAACTGGAAAACAAACGATAAACGCGTTAGAGGAGACTCTTTACAAGTCAATTAATTCTGTTTTTAATTGAGAAGTTAATATGAGCAAGGTGTGTATAAAGTCAATTGTTTAGACCAGGAAACGTCGTTATATGTTAGTAGAAATATATCATTCACGATAGTAGAGTCCTGAGAACGATTGTTGCTGTTGATGTTGACTAACGTTTCGACAATCTTAGCAGTGTTTATATTCTGATTTAAGCAAGGAGGAAACATTTGCTTGCTCCATCACAACAAATGCGGATCAATTAAAGATGTCATTATTCTTTTGAAGGCTAGCTGCACTGTTTTATGATTTTAACTTATCTCTTCCTTTCCCGTTCACGACGAGTAAACTTTTTTTCATTAAACTAAATTCCAATTTTAATTATCATTATCATTCTATACGGCAGTTACAAAAAAACACCGGTAAGGAGTTAAGCAAGGAATAAGCATAAGGCTTTTCCCATAACAACAAATGCTTATAATTTAAAGATGTCATTAATGTTTTGAACACTTACTGCACTGTTATATGATTTTAAATTATCTCTTCCTTTTTTCGTTCACGACGATTAATTTTTTTTCCATTAAACTAAATCCCAATTTTAACTATCATTATCATTAATATACCGCAGTTACAAAAAACACCAGCACCGTAATACCTAAGCGCTCGATCGGCTTGTGGATAATAAAATAACTTCCTGTGAAGTGATAACTAATAACTAACAAATACTATAATCAAACTAATGCTAACGTTTGTTGAACATGTTTATAACTGGTTTATACTAGAAAAATTAGCGTTGGCATATGGTAAAAATTAATGCAATTATATAAGTATTCATAAAAATTATGTCGTATTAGTATTTTAAAAGCATCATTTAACATGTTTATACTTACAAGTACGTCTGCCCGATCTTCCAGATCTAAAATCAGCATACAGGATACATATATACCGGACAAAAACAGAAGCAATATGTTGTATTGTCGTCGTATTTGAAGTTAAATCTTGGTGTCCGGAAACAGTAATAAGATCAATTAAGGTTGTTTGCTTCACAAGCTCAATCTGATAAGGAAGTGCTTGAAAATATCCAACCATGTCGATATCAGAAAATTCTCCATTATTCGTTAAAATAACCGAAAGATTCGAGGAATATAGTTCTGATAAGTTTTGAAACACAACTCCAATTGCTCTTGAGTAGTACATGGTTAGATTAGTGTTCTGACCTACAAAAGAAATTCTTGCAAATTATATTACCTCATTTATTGAATTTACATTACAAATTAATTACTACTTGAATAATTAACATTGTAAATTTCTTCCTCTTTACAAAAACAATTCAAATATTCTTGTGTTAAATAACTTAAAAAAAACAAAATCAAAAGTGAAAAAATTTTTTGGTGAGATATTCAACAGCTTGTGTAAAAGCTCTGTCTATCTTTCATCAAAGTTAAAACATTAGCAAAATGTCATCAATCTTTGACACTAAAGCAATTTGTAGAATACTTTTCTGTATATCAGTGATATCACTTGAAGTTTTGTTGATAATTATGCGATAATCTACTCTGTGCTTATATCTTTTACTGAAATTTCATTACATTAATAAAGAATTTGGAGCTGTAAAATTCTTTCCATCGTATTAGCGATATGTTCATTTGTTGTCTACATTAAAATCCATCATGTTTCGTTACTGCTGATTGTAGAAAAAAATTTTTGAATAGAATTAATGAATAAAATAAAGTTTGTTTTTACCTCTTTGAATTGTTTCAATAAATGGCTCCAAGAATTTTCTGACATCCATAAACACGCTGTAATGTCTAGCTTGCTCACACGATCCTGCCCCCCAAGAGACTATCCCTAATTGTATCCAAGTATTATTGCGTTTACATTGATAGGGACCACCACTATCACCATTACATGCACTGACTCCACCTGATCTACGACCACCACAGACTGACCTTGGTGAGACTCTCCCGTTAAAAAATCTAGAACTATTGCATTCTTGAAGACTAATAACATCAAGTTTCACCTGTTGTAAGTATGGAGAAGTGAAGCCAGATGCAGTACGTCCCCAGCCAATCACAAAACATGTATCATTTCCGTTAAAAATATCATCTCGACTAGGAAGACAAACAGGCAGCACACGTTCGGTAAAGTTCAAAGGTGTTGGCAGTTTCAACAAAGCAACGTCATAGTCCAAAAAATATACAGGTCCGTTTGTGTAATATTTAGGATGAATATACATGGCAACTGACGTCAAAGAGTATTCATAAACACTAGTTGTGTCTGTTCTATGATCTGCAACATTTATTGTAATTCCGGAGTAAAACGTTGCAGGCATTGTTGATTGTACAAGACAATGAGCTGCTGTCAAAATCCAATATTTGTTAATAATTGATCCTGCACAATGAATAGAGCCTCCTCGAGTCAAACTAACTATCCATGGCCAAGAGTTTGGTGTCGCTTCTGTTCCTCCTACAATGAGAGACTGTGGAGACTGAGATCCAGCGAGAATCTTGCGCTTGCCACAGGAGCTCATTTGAGAAGAAGTACCTGTCAAATTTTATAAGATTTCTATTAAAGTTAGTTAACAAACATTTTACTCTGTCAATAAATTTGTAATAAAACTTAGTCAGTAATTCAAAACTAGGATGCTCAGTCATTTTATTGATTTGGTTTACTTATCTTGAAGTATAATGTTAAATATCATGTGAGTTGGAGAAAAATGGGTCAGTGCAATTTTAAGGACGTCATGCCGTCCATTGTTTTACATCCAAGTAAATATTTTATACTTTAACAGAAAATTCATGAATAGTATTTTTCAAAATAACTATCTGTTTATCTTCAGATAAAATTATAACTCATTGTTGTGCTCGTGGATGTATACCACTATTAACTGCATTGTACACCTAATGATATTAATATGATAATGTACAAGAAAAGCATTAATTAATCGACCAATTAATGTAAATCTTCTTCCATTTAAAGCCAAATATTGCATACGAGTGCTTAAAATAGGTGTTTGAAAAAAACGATTGTGCGATACAACAAATTGAAAGGTATCCAAAGTCAATAATGAACATTTTAAGGTCAAAATTCAGTAGTTGATCTGGTTTGAAGGTAAAACATTTTGTTTTATGTCACATTTCTGTTAGCAGCAACATGACGTTCTTTTAAAAATACCCTTTTCTTCAAAATGAAATTAATTACGTCACTAATTTTGTCAAAAGAGTGGTTCATTACACTAAAATTAGTCATAAATAAAGTGGCATTTGGAAAAGATTTTTGTCAGAAGTATTTAAGCCTTGAAATCGAATTACTTGAGAGATAAAATGTTACTAATGTAAACTCTCTTCTAGCTTGCATTATAGCCTACTTTTATAATAGTGTCGGTATCAAAAGTTTATTTGCAAATTGACTAAGAAGTTGAAAAAGGAAAAAATAGGATTGTGAATGATTTATGTTATAATCTGCTTTAAACGCAGTCATACTGATAAGAGCTTACTGCAGTAAGTGCTAATAAGTCTGCCAAGCAATTACGCAACATTTTTTGTCCCTTAAATCTTATCTAAAGCATAAACATCTGTTCAAAGTAAATTGGCACTGCTCATAAGTCACTTATCCATGAAAGTTTAAATCTATAATAAATAATAAGGAAACTGATATCCTAAGGATAGAGATATTAAGGTATAGACACTAAGGGCAATTTATTAATAGGAAAAATATTTACATTTATAGGAAGTAACAATAAATAAAAATAATATTCTTGCAATGCTTATCAAAAATGGCTTTGCGACATTAATGGAGGTGTATTAGAGTTAGGACAATCTAAAGGTTTATGGCTAGAGGTAAGGTTTGGAGTTATCTATAGAACAAAGCAAGCCCGTTTTTTACTCTTAAAACAAGAATCTTTTTTGTGCTCAATCTCTGTAAGGAAAAACAGTTAAAGTGCAATATACTGTGCAAGTAGATGACTGCAAAGTTCGTTGTCATTAAGACCAAGTCACTCACAGACAAACATCACAAGAAAATGAGCTCATTGACCAAACGATTATTACTAACAACCTGATACTGATCAGAGAGTAATGGGTGCTGAAAAAGCTGAATCCACAACTAAATATCTAATAAGAGTTAAGGTACGTTTACACACAACAATTTGTTGGGCGGACACTGACGTCATATTAGTTGTTCTAGCTATATTTGGAAAATTGCAGGCAATGGCTTCAGAAATTCGCGACTCGAAAAATCGTATGAAAGTCTGTTTCAAGTTATAGATTTTTCCCTAGGTTAAATAATGTGCTATAGTTACTGAAACCAGCATATTATGATTATTTAAAGATAATTTTAATAAGGTTTTCTGTCAGTTCGGGAAACAATATTATCAAAATACGAGAACGTTGTTCAATCTCATGTGTACACGCATTTTAGACATGCACTAAACATTTATTCATAAATCTTTTCAGACTAGAGAACGAAATGCTACTTAATTTTAAGTTAGATAATTGACATTCGTTTACTTTTGAAACGTTGCGTTGATCCAAAAAATTATATCTGGTAGCTTTACTTCCAGAAACAAAAACACACACACACACACACACACATATATATATTACGCTCACTGCGCGTGCGTAGTTTGAGCACTGTCGGATTGTGTAGAGAGTCTCATATGGAGACGTTCACCGTGTTCGCGATATGCAAAGCTCACCTTTATAGGTTTGAGCACTGTGGTGACTCTAAAATACAATCCATACAATGTGTGACCGTACGTCCTGTGTCCCAAGTGCAGGAGTGATGTCACGTCGTAGAATATCATGATTTCGTCTGGTCGTAGTTTAATGTTTTCAATGCTGGCGAGGAAAGCGGTGGCATTTCTGATGGTGTGAGGTGAATTTTGACTAATGGATACAGAATGTTATAAAGATCTTTTGAAAGTTCATACGTAGGTGATCCTGGAAGCGATACGATAGGTCGAAGTGGGTTGTTTTCTTTATGGATTTTGGTAGTCCGTAGAATTTGACGGTGGATGCGTCATTGGGTCGGATTCTTCTGTAGTCGTTTTAGTTTAGTTTCTTTTTGTCTTTTAGTTGTTTCAGTTTGTGGTTGATGCGGTTGGTGGTCGTTTTGCTGGGGTCTGTGTGGAGAAGTTCGTAGGTGGTGGTGTCTTGTAGGAGGGTTTTGGCTTTGTCGATGTATTCTGATCTTTCCATGATAACTGTTTTGCGTCCTTTGTCAGCTCGTAATATGATTATTTGGGCGTCGTTTTGTAGGTTTTTAATTGCTCGTAGTTCTTCGTAGTTTAGGGTGACAGGTGGTTTGTGGCAGAGGTTATTTTTGATTTTGTGACGAATTTCTTCTTTCGTTTGGTCTGTTAAGTTGGTGTACTTTAAAGCGGAGTCCAGGTCGGCAACGTAGTCAAGTTTGTTCGCGTCTTTAAAGTTGTAATTTAATCCTTTGTTTAAATTTTTTTTATAACATTCTGTATCCATTAGTCAAAAATTCACCTCACACCATCAGAAATGCCACCACTTTCCTCACCAGTATTGAAAACATTAAACTACGACCAGACGAAATCATGATATTCTACGACGTGACATCACTCTTCACATCCATACCACTAGACATTGCCAAACAAATTACAAACGAACTACTCACAAACGACAAAACTTTGCAAGCTACAACACAACTAGACAAAAATGACATCCTAGACTTACTCAACCTTTGCCTCTCCACTGAATTCACCTTCCAAAACACATACTACAGACAAATTTCAGGCACACCAATGGGATCACCACTATATACCATCCTCGCAGAAGCTGTCATGCAGCACCTCGAAACACAATCAGTCACAAACAACACAAACATCAGACTACGGAAAAGATATGTCGACGACATCTTTGCCATAGTCAAGAAAGATAAAACTGAACAAATCCTACACACCATAAACAATACCACAAAGAACATTACCTTTACTAAAGACGAAGAACACGACAAACAACTTACCTTCCTCGACATCCTACTAACCAGAACAGATGACGGTACACTAAACACACAAGTATACCGCAAAACCACCCACACAGACCAAATACTCGATTTCAACAGCAATCATCCAACACAACACAAAATAAGCTGCATTCGAACACTTTTCAACAGGATAAACACTCATTGTAATACGGAAGAAGGCAAAAAACAGAACGCAACTACTTATACTCCAGATTTATTAAAAACAACTACCCTAGAAACTTCATAAACAAAACTATATACAAAATACAAAACAAAACACAAACCGACAAAAGCAACAAAAAACCGGACGAAACAGTAAAAAATCGTCACATTACCATACATAAACGGAACATCAGAAATAACTGCCAGACTTCTTCGACCATTTAATATTAACGTCGCCCACAAACCTACACAAAAACTCAAATCATGCTTCACCAAACATAAAGACAAAACAACAATTCATGATACAACTGACGGGATCTACATGATACCATGTAAAGACTGTTCAAAGAAACAATACATAGACAAACATCTAAGAAAATTGAAACAAGACTCACAGAACACAAAAACGCCATAAAACGACGAGATCCGAACTCACTACCGGCAGAACATACCCACGGAAACAACCACACATTCGACTGGACAGAAACTAAAGTACTCGGACGCGCACAGACTAAACACGCACGCGAATTTAAAGAAGCTTGGTACAGTGAAGACAACGACACAATAAACAGACATATCGACATACCCATCATATACTCACAACTAAAGAAAAGGACAAAAACTACAAACAACACCAAAACCAAAACACTACACTCTAATATTATTAACACCAATAATATTAACAACATACCAAAACCCATGGCAACGCATTTCACCCCATCCAATCAAATTAATCCACCCACTAATCCAATTAGACGCTCTAAACGTCTCTAAGCTAAAAGCACGTGTAAATAAATAATAAATATCCTCATTCTGATGAAGGCTCGAAGCAACGAGTCGAAAGCTCAATAAAAATCATTTAAAAGTCCGGAGAAACGTTTATCTTTTATGTATTCAATGCCTGGATTACAAATTTTCAAACTTATATATATATATATATATATATGAACATCTGTTCCATCGAAAATTATATTAGGCGTATTATTAATAGCTCTATGCAACGACGAAAACCACTTGACCCGTTACATTCCATCTTGGTAAGCTTTTGCATAAAATCAATTGCGTTACTCAAAATATATTAATTTCGCAATTTTAAATGGCCAATATGAGGAGTGTGAATAAAATTGAAAAAAATTAAACTTAAACAAGCAACGAGACTCGCTTGCAAGCTAATTTCTAAAAAAGGCTTTGCGCATTTTTACCTTACTAAAAATTCAATTCCTTAGGCCTTATTTGCAAATTCACTTGCAATTAATTCACTACTGATATCAAAATTGAAAATATGTAGGACATGGATAAACAGTACAAAGATGCACTACAAACATTTAATTTTATAGCATTGTACTATGTTTTATAAAGAAATAATTATTTCAGATGTTGATTATAGTTATTATAAATGCCAACTTATTTTATTTTTGCAATGCAATGATGACATCAATACATAAATTGTTCCTGATTCAATTCGTTTTCATAGTTGGCACGAAAAAATGAAATGTCTGTTTACTTCATGTCTCACAAAGACAATTCTTTGCATTACCAGAATATTTTACTTGATTGAACAAGGAAATTACCTCTACAGAAATAATCATTTAAAGATAACTTTTGTTTATATTTTGAATTTACTAAAGTGAAGAAAAAATATCAAAGTTTGTGACATAAATTTTTCTTCTGTTTAGATTCTCTAAATTTCCATGTCTATGAAAAACTCGCTATCTGGACACATAAAATTTCTTACAACTTCTTGATAATGAAGTATAAAAGAACCACTTACCACATAAGATAAAGAAAATAACGAAAAATCCATTTTGTGAATGGTTCCAGCCGCATTCTACAAACCACATAAAAAATTTCGAGTACGATCAATAATAGACGTGATGTTCCGTGTTCAAGAATAAGCAATGTTTAAATTCATAAATCTTTTAATGATGAGTTAAAATAGAAGCCGCTTCTAGTATAGTTGTAAACTTTACCTGAAAAATAGTGTCTGATCCTCTTGTGTTGTTATAACTAAAAATACTGAAGCAAATTTTTGTTAGAATTGAATAAAAGCATCAGAGCATAATGCTATTGAGTGAAAATCTACAAACAGTCAAGCATTTCGTTACGAAGACTACGAGTTGCTATAAGATCTTTTTAACAGCTAAAATATGGTACCTTAACATAGCATTGAAATAAATATCTGAAGCGGCTTCACAAGAAAAGACGAAAAAATAATGCAATATGAGTGTATTTTTGCTCTGTCGTCCAAATGATCGTAATAAAGTAAATGGTTTGAACCCGGCAGTATCGTTACATGTTTGTAAATGTAGATCGTCCAGGTTGGTATAGTCCTGAGAAAGACTGTCAAAATGACTCTGAAGATGACTTTCGCTAAGGTTGTCAAAACGTCAGTCAACAACAACAAAAACAGTTCTTCTCAGGACTATACCAACTTAGGCGATCTACATTTACAAACATGTAAATACTCAAACCATTTACTTTAAAACAAAACTGCCCACTTAACGGAAACTGCCTACAATCATCCGTCGTCTACCAAGCTACTGTGAAACGCAAGGACAATAACAGAACTGAGACGTACCTTGGACTTACTGAAAACGAATTTAAAACTAGACATAGAAATCACACTGACTCTGTCCGCCACAAAAAAAAACAAACTACAAAACTCGACCGAACTCAGTAAGCACATTTGGACCCTTAAAGACGGCAACATTGACCACGACATCTCATGGAACATCATCACACACAGAAACCATAAAACAGCACTAGTGTCCCTTGAAGAGTGAGAAATCACAAAATAGGCTTGTCGGGATAAATCTGTAGTTTTCGTGATTTTTTTCGACATCGCTACATATGTTTACGCTCTGCTCTCGGGCATCGAGCACTATTTTATACGGAGAGTCATCACTTATAAACTTCCTATATATATATATGACACATATATATATGTATATATATTTGAAAATTGGTAACAGGCATATTATGATAATGATAAGGATTCAGAGAATCCTTATCATTATCATATGTATATATATATACATACGGCTTTGTGAGAAAAATGTGAACAAAAACTACAAAGGTCGTATAATTGTGAAAGGAGTGTAACAACAGTAAAATAAAGCATTAATATCAGTAAAATTTTTCGATAACTGACATTATTTTTAATCCACAACAACTATAGAACAGCGAAAATTCTTCAAGAATTTTAACACCAATTGTAAATTGATACCGAAGCACTTTTTTAAAAGGCTTTTATTTGAAAGCTATATTTAGGCTTTGTATGTTCAAATTCATACCTTTAAGTAAGCACCATGAAAGTTACCATCAACGACAATGTTTTCCTAAAGGCAGTTAGCCTAAAAATGAAAATTTAGTTTAGGGTGAAAGATATACATAACTCCTTCATGAATTCACAATAGTGAGTGAGACAATGAAAATGATAGATACATGAAAAATTTATGCAAATTCCAACATATTCAATTTTTAGATTGATTATAAAAATTAATAAAATTTTTGCAATTATTATCACCACAGGCTTTTCTATTATTCTTTCGTTTAAAGGGTTTGTCATCTTTCGAAATCTTGAGTACAAATAAAAACTTATTCAACTAACCAAACAGAAACACAAAAAATGTAGCTAATAAAAGAAACAGATAATTATAATCTACATTGCCTTTATTTTTTTACAAGAGTAGAGAAGTATATTTATTGCGTGCGAGAAATATAAGAGAAATTGTTTTGCGTCATACGCCCCCGTAGCGAATACAGCCAGATATGATTTTCAAGCTATGTGATAGATAGTTTCCTTGGTAATATGTGCAAATCAGTTGCAGAAAAAAGACTTCTTACAACTCGATTTCTTGTGTAGAGTCGCTTTGACGCAATTCATTTGCGTGAGCAAAAGTGAATGGCCACAAATCCAGCATCTTCATCATCTAGTAAATAGTTTAACATTACCAACGTAAAGAAAACATGTCTATTCTATAAGATTATTTTATGCATGCTGCACACTAGGAATTAACTCTTCATTATAAGTAAACCTTCATAAAGATTTATTTAGATTTCGATGGATTTGTTTATAGTTACTGTTACATAGCAACAAGCAACATTAAACTTCCTCTAGAATTTAATAGTAAATTTAGGAATAGTCAATATGCGATCAGCTTTCGACCTGATTGTCTATTTGTAGCTAATGCAATTTTCTTGATATATAAAATCATATACTTAAGGTGAAAATCTCGTGTGCAAGCATGCAAAACACAAAAATGTTGCATCTTAAAATGCATCTTAAGATTATTCTTTTCATCAATTCAGAAATATTATGTTAAGGATGAACATTTTTTAAATTGTTCATACTAATCGTGCAGAAAATGTATGTTAAATTTTCTGAACGCCTTGCATGTCTCATTCATATACCTATAATATAGATGTCGTGGCAATGTAGCTAACATTGAAAAGAAACAGATAATTTCAATCTACTTTGCAGCTCTACTGAAATTCACTTACATTTTGTTCCAGATTACTTAACTTCCAATTAACTTATGTGCAATGGTCTTGTTTACGTGATAAAAAAATATGTGTATTATCTCAAACAAAACTCAATGTCGTGATAAATTAGTGGGAGATGATCGTGATTGAAACACTAAACGAGTACATACGAGTACATACGAGTGACATTCGAGTACATACGAGTGACATACGAGTACATACAAGTACATACGACTTACATACACAACCCAGTCTCTTCCTTAAATGAACTCTATACGCTAATTGTGTGAAAATACCCTCAAATTGACTCTATAAGTCATTTGAAACGTCCATTCAAACAACAAGCCTGGTGACACGAGTGGCTCCTTTGCCAGTTACCGAAATTAAAAAACCAAAAAACTTAGCGCGCGCCATTTTGTTTTGTTATAGGAGCGAAGATATTCTACATTACCCTGTATGGCTGTATCAGTATTTTGTATTAAAGGACATTGGCAACGAAAATTTTTATGACATATTTTTGAACCCTTGTGATGTCTAACAACTAAAATAGAAAAATTTTTTCTCAAAAATATTTTGTTGCTGAGATATTTGCAGCAAAAGTTTTATAAATTGCGCCATCTTGGATAAAATTTTGAAAAAATTATCTCGAGCGGTAGTGACGTCATTGGCTGGTGAGCAGTCAAAACAACAATACAATATACTTTGTGATTGACTGCGTTACAACACATTTAAAGCGTATTTTACGGGATTTTTTTGCTGCAATGGATGACATACACGAAAATCAACCGGGTGAGGTTCTGCCCTATCAATATGAACCTGAAGTGAAGGCCGAAATAAGCGAAGAAAGCGGTTCCGAACAGGAGAGTGAGCAGAGCGACTTGTCCTCGTCGGAGGATGAAATACATGCTGAATTTGATAAAACAAATGCTTGGCGCCTTCAAACTCTTAGTTGGTGTAAGTGTGGACATTGTACTTTGTCAAAAAAGGCAATCAATCGAGTGTTTTTGTTGCTACGAAAAAGCACTTGAATACGATGAGTATGAGGCTTTGCTAGGCCAAACTGAAACTCAAGGATAAATTACTTGACAACACACCAAGAATTTAGGGACAATATGCTCTCAGAAAGTGTGTTAAAGATAGATGTGTGTCGGCATCTGTGTCGGCATCTTGAAGAAAACTGGCCCCTGTCTGAAGAGGATCTAGAGAGAATACACAAGCTGTATCGATTAGTCGCATAGATGCGAAAGTGTGTTAAAATAGATGTGTGTCGGCATCTTGAAGAAAACTGGCCCCTGTCTGAAGAGGATCTAGAGAGAATACACAAGCTGTATCGATTAGTCGCATAGATGCGAAAGTGTGTTAAAGATAGATGTGTGTCGGCATCTTGAAGAAAACTGGCCCCTGTCTGAAGAGGATCTAGAGAGAATACACAAGCTGTATCGATAGTCGCAAAATTTTTCAAATTTTGGGAAGAAACATCGAAGACCATTTCCTGCTTGTGTTTATGCTAGCATGCGAAAACGCTTCGCGTCACCAGACGGACTTTATACACATTTTAAATACGCATGTTATCACAAAGACCGTAAATTTAGTCTTAGACAGACGCTCTTTCATGTTCTTTGTTATGATCTGCAATTGCGATGCCATATCATTGTCACGAACTGCGCAAAAGCAAAATGCATGAGTGATCCACCCAAAACTTGTATTCATTCATAAGTTATAAAGTTAATCGAAAAGTGTACTTGTACATTGTGCACGCAAACACGCACGTAAAACATTACGGATAAACGAAACTCTACAGTCAAGAACAAGACATAGCGGCTTAGAGCTTATCACCTATATAAAACTACATAATCTTTCAAAGACTCTTATGTATACAAATAATAAATTAAACGTATAACTCATTTGTTGGTCACAGGTTTGTAATATGGGAAAATGAAATATTTCTATTGCACGAAATGTGCAGTGTATAAAACGCGCTTGTTGTCGTCTGGGCTTACACTAGGAATGTCGGCAAAGCCTAGTTGTAAGATCTGCTAAAATAAACGTTTCTACGTCTTATAAGGACTAAATATTGGAAAAGTATATAAGCGTGATAAACTACACAACTTTTGTTAATCTTAACAACCGCCGACTGTTGTTTTTGTTTTAAAATTCCAGTGAACAAATGTGCTATATTTTATTATAATACTATTATTTTATATTGTGTCATTCCAGTGGATACCAGCTAATGACGTCAAGAATGTATTCCGGCATAATTTAGCATAAGGCTTTTTTTCCAAAATGGCGGATAAGGATTCAACTTTATGTCAAATTTTCCCAACAGTAAAATTCAAAAGAGACACGAAAATACGAAATTAAGTATTCCATAGCTATCTATGATAAACGTATGAAAAAAAAATTTTCGTTGCCAATGTCCTTTAAATATTAAACATATCGGGGTTTCACCTCTTATTTATGCAAACACATGTCTCATAAACGCAGTAGGCCGAGTAAACCAACGATTGATGAGCAGCTGCTGTCTGCAATAAGCAATGTTAATGCTATTACAAATCAAGGTGCTCGTGGTAGAAACAAGACTATTAAGAAGAAAAATGCCAGAAGAGATATAGTCTTCAAAGAAGCGAAGTGGCGAACGGATTATTTATAAGCCAAGCAAAGCACTTCGAGAAATAGAAATACACATAGAGGTGTGTGTTGTAGAAATAATACTTTTATTAAAGAAATAGCAGCATTTTGATTTTGTTAAACTTGTATGTTACGTTTCTATGTTACTTGTTGTTATTACTATCATAGATGAGGAAATGCCTACAACATCGTCAGATTTACATGATGTTCCACAGGAAATATTATGTGATGACAATGTTACTGAAAGAGGTTGTTGATAATACTTCTTACATCTCAACTTTACATAACAGAAGCAAAACTTTTGTGATGTCCTGGCCACTGCATATATACATAGTTTTTTATATTTTTATACACATGTGACTGTGCTTTTAACACTTCAATGTACTCTTGTATCGTATTTTAGAAAAAAAAATAGAAAAGGAAACAGCTTTATGTCATAAATGTTAGAAGGAAACATATTTATAATAATCATTTATGTATATTACGAGTCCACGTGACTACTGTTACGTAATATCGTTGTTGTTCTGCCATATAGAAGAGAGCACATGTTATGTTAAAATATATTGTCAATCGTTATGTTGTCAAACTCCTTTATGATTCTATCTGATGTTCGGTAAAACCTCTAAATCTAACAGGTTATGGGCCCAGAATGCTATGGTCTACATGTGAATCGAACAAGTCGACGATTTTATAAAATATTTCTATAAGTATTTTGCGGTCGAATATAAAGTCAATATGGCTGAATTGAATTCGTTCAAATTTGCGAAGTTAAATGGGTCGAACTATCGGACCTGGTCTTTTAACATGCGTTTATACTTAGAAAGCCTTGATCTGTTTGAACATGCTGAGGGTACTGCTCAACTTACGTCGGAAAGTGCCGAAGTTCGTCAGAGTTTTGCGCGTAATGCGAAGAAGGCATGGACTCACATCTGTCTGGCTATCGAACCAGAATATCAAATTCATGTACGCCATACCACAACTGCAAAAGAAGCATGGGACGCTCTAAAGAAGCAATTTGCTAGAGAATCTCTGTTACAGAAAGTGAGATTGAGACAACAATACTACGCTTGCCGTTATCGTTCAGGAGAAAGCATGTTGGAGCATATTAGTCACTTAAGAACATTGCATGACCAGCTAAAAGAAATGGGGTAGAAGTTGATGACAAAGAACTGGCAATGACACTCTTAGCGAGTTTGCCTGAAGAGTTCAAACCCTTGATTACAGCCCTGGATGCAATAGGTGATGACTCCTTATCTTACGACAAAGTGAAAAACATGTTGTTAAATGATGTTGATCGACGACAAGACGGAAAGGATCCTGAAGGAGCATTTGCTGCTGGAAGAAATATGAGAAAAGGAAAGCAACAATATGTATTTAAAGGGAAGTGTCACAACTGTCATGAAAGAGGGCATTTTGCTCGTGACTGTCCAAAGAAAAAGGTCCTCGACGACAAGAACAAGAAAAGTAATGAAAGAAAGAAAGGTGAATCTGCTACGTGTGTAGAGAAAGAAGATGATGATAATATGAAAGAAGCATTGTATACCTCAAGTTCATGGAATAATAACAGCTGGATTATTGACTCAGGTGCCACACAGCACATGACCTATAATAAGAGCAATTTGATTGAATATGTTCAATTTTCAAATCCATCAATTGTTAATCTTGGAGATAATAGAAGTATTCTTGCATATGGTAAAGGGGTTTGCCGTATTATTGCTGATGCAAATGAAAGACCTCAGAAGATAAGTTTGCGAGATGTGTTGTATGTACCAGATCTAGGTAGGAATTTGCTTTCTGTAAGAGCCATGATAAAGCTTGGAGCGTGTGTTACTTTCAAAGATGATCAATGTGAAATCTTTAGAGGTAAAAAGTTGTTGGCAAGTGGTATAATGCTGGAAAAACTGTATGTATTGAAAATCATTGAAGGTAACTATGTGAATGTTGCAATAGATGATAAATTAATGTTATGGCATTATCGTTTTGGTCACCTTGGAATGAACAATGTTTCAAAACTGCTGAATGATAATATGGTTATTGGCATGGATACTACGCCTAAGGAAGAATCTCCATGTGAGGGATGCATTATGGGTAAGCATCATAAATCCAAGTATCCCAAAAGGAAGCAAAGCGTGCAATTAAACCGTTTGAATTGGTGCACAGTGACGTTTGTGGACCGATGTCAACAAATTCACTTGGTGGTTCAAAGTATTTTGTTCTTTTTATTGATGATTTTTCAAGGTACACTTATGTTTATTTCATTAAGAACAAACATGAAGTATTGGAGAAGTTTAAAGTATTTAATGCAATGGTTTTAAACATCACTGGTTGTTCAGTTAAAGTTTTACGGAGAGACAATGGTGGGAATATTGTTCCAAAGAATTTAAAGAATTTCTTAAGCAGAAAGGAATTACACATCAACTTACTGTGCCGTATAATCCCGCACAGAATGGTGTATCGGAACGAATGAATCGGACACTTGTTGAATCAGCCAGATCAATGTTATCACACAGTAATATGCCGTTACAATTTTGGGCAGAAGCAGTGAATACAGCTGTCTATCTGAGAAATCGAAGTCCGACGGTATCACTTAATGGAGTTACACCGTTTGAATGCTTGTTCAATAAGAAACCAGATGTTTCTAATCTGAGAGTATTTGGATGCCTAGTTTACGCCCACGTGCCTGCAAGTCAACGAAAGAAATTTTCAGAGAAATCAAAGAAGTGTATCTTCATCGGATATCCTGAAGGGACGAAAGGCTACAAATTGTTTGATGTGCTCAGTCAAAAGTTTATCCGAAGTCGGGATGTCGTCTTTCGTGAGAATGTATTCCATAAGTTTGTTAAAGATGTTCCTCTCACAACTAATAAGACTACTGAAATCGAGGCAATTATCAATACAGAAAACCATACGGGAGAAATTGCAAATGAAGTGGATCATCCTGAAGACAATGTTCCAATACCATGTAATCGTCCAGTGGGAGCCACGTATGAAGATAACTTTCTAAGAGATGTGGAAAATATCAATCCACGACGTGAAAGACGACCACCACAAAGATTTGATGAGGAATTATATAGTTGCAGAGAAGATTTAACCGCAGATATTTATGAGCCAAGTGCTATCGCTGAAGCATGGAATGGAAAGAACAGTAACGAATGGAAGAAAGCTACAGAGTTGGAATACAAATCATTAATCGAGAATGATACGTGGGATCTTGTACCACCACCCGAAAAGAAAAATGTGATTGGTAGTAAGTGGGTGTTTAAAGTCAAAAGAAAATCTGATGGAACAGTCCAAAGATTTAAAGGTAGACTGGTAGCACAAGGCTACACTCAATCACCAGGTATAGATTATGAAGAAGTGTTCGCACCTGTTGTAAGATATAGTTCGATAAGATCGTTACTTGCAGTTGCCACCATTTGTGACTGGGAAGTCCACCAAGTCGATGTTAAAACTGCATTCTTACAAGGAAATCTGGAAGAGGAGATTTATATGAAACAACCCAATGGATTTGTTGATAAAGAACGACCAGATTACGTTTGTAGATTAAAGAAAAGTATATATGGGCTAAAACAAGCAGCGAGATGTTGGAATAACGCGATTAACACTTATCTGTTATCCAATGATTATACGAAATGCACCGCTGATCCCTGCATCTACATCAAATCAGTGAAGTCTAAAGATCGTACAATTAAGTTCGTAATTGTAGCGATATATGTTGATGATATGATGTTCTTTTCAAATGATGTTAAGATGTTGCAACAAGAAAAGAAAGCGATGGCAATGAAATTTCAAATTGAAGATTTAGGAGAGCTGCACCACATCCTTGGAATGACAATTTTAAGAAATCGAGGATCTCGAACAATGTCTATTACTCAAACAAATTATTTAGAAGGTGTGCTCAAGAAGTTTGAGATGGAGAATTGTAAGTCTGTTTCAACACCCTTGGAAACAGGAAAGAAGTATGAAAAATTGTCAGATGAAAATGAATCATTTGATAGACGAACCTATCAAAAGGCAATTGGTTGTTTAACGTACGCAGCAACAATCAGTAGACCAGATTTGTCCACAGCCGTCAGCATACTGTCTCAGTTTATGTCTAATCCTAGTATACAGCATTGGAAAGGAGTGAAGCGAGTATTTCGTTACATTAAAGGAACTTTGAATTATGGCTTGGTTTATACTGCTAAAAATGCAAGCACGATTTTGACAGGATATTCGGATGCAGATTGGGAGGAGACATTACAACTCGACGTTCAACAACAGGATACGTTTTTCAAGTACAAGGTAACACAGTAAGTTGGTGTAGTAAACGTCAAGGATGTGTAGCAAGATCGACAACGGAGGCGGAGTACATTGCTCTGAGTACTACTAGCCAGGAAGGGATTTGGTTAAGAAGATTGCTGGAAAATATTTCAAAGAAACAAGATTGCCCCACCATCCTATATGAAGATAATCAAGGAACGATTGAATTAACTAAGAATCCAAAATTTCATAATAGAACAAAGCATATCGATATATCGTATCATTACGTCAGAGAGCAAGTTGAGAAAAGAACATTACTATCAAGTATTGCAGAACTGAAGATATGTTAGCGGATGTAATGACTAAAGGATTAACAAAATTAATTTTGAAAAATGTAGAAGCAAACTGGGACTTATGGAAGTTTGAGAACTATGTTATCTATGAACACTATTAGTTAAATTTGTTAAATATACTATGATTATTAAGTGGAGTGTTAGAAGGAAACATATTTATAATAATCATTTATGTATATTACGAGTCCACGTGACTACTGTTACGTAATATCGTTGTTGTTCTGCCATATAGAAGAGAGCACATGTTATGTTAAAATATATTGTCAATCGTTATGTTGTCAAACTCCTTTATGATTCTATCTGATGTTCGGTAAAACCTCTAAATCTAACAATAAAATCATTTCATTTTCATTTTAGAAGCTATTCTTGAAAGCTGTCAGTTGGTTATTGGAGAAGTGGATACTGAGCCATCTGCCTGGCAAAAAAAATGGAAAATCGAGAAGAAAAATGGGAAAGTATGAGGGAAAAATTATTTAATCTCACTGTGTCATCATTTGCTCCTCCTTTATCTGCTATGAAGTGTTGGAGATGCAATGAAAATGAAGCTGTACTGAGATGTAGACAATGTGGTGTGTTGGGATGTATTTGTAGAGAATGCGATGATGATGTCCATGAGAACAATCCTCTCCATGATCGAGAAGTATGGTTGGATGGTTATTTTCAATATATCAAGCCAACACCATCCATTTCATCTAATGGAAAGATTTGCAGCATTGGTAAGTATAATGTACATACTATTGAATTTTATATAAATATTTGGGTTTTTTTTGTTGTGCCCGATGTGAGAGAAATGTTTTTCTGTCATGATGCTGTTATCTTTGTAGATTGATCATGTCCCATCCTTTACCCATCATCATGTCAGTTGTGTAATGAATCCATTATGAAAATTACCAACAATTCTCTTATGATTATGATCACTTGTGAAGGTGAAAGTGTCCTTATGCAATTTATTTACTGAGTCCAAATAACATTTTTTGTTATATGGATGTACATATGATGCATCTTACTAAAATCTGATTTGTTAGGGGCTCATTATGTTAGGCATGTTAGGGGCTGATTATTGAGAAAAATACATAGGCTGCAGGTTGGATTGTACACTAATTCATAAACTTTAAATTGAAACTGAAAACTTCAAATCATCAATGAAGTTGCTGGCTTCTTATGAAACCTCAGGATTTGATTTCTTCAAAGCGCATATTTTCAGCGCTGTACTGGTTATCTTTGATTATATTTTGTCTTTAACAGGATGATTTGGTCTTAATCGGTTCACTGTACATCGCTCATCTTGTCAATGGAAGTGGTCACCAATTTCTGTTGACAGTATAATTGAGAGTGGCTGGTGGCCTGGTAGCGCTGAAAATGTTCATTACATATTTAGTCAAGATGTCTTTAATTTGTGGGATGCATTAAGAAAGAGGATGCCTGAGTCATCACAATCTGCTTTTGTAAGAAGTTTGGAAGATATTTGCAGCTCTAGAGGAAGGGTGATTAATTTTTATGCTATCTACATGTCTTTGTTAATGTGCTTTTTACTTTGTGTATATTTTTTCTCTCACAAACCAAAAGCTACAAGACGTAAATCTTGGTTTCAAAATAATCCTTTATGATCATTTCTTTCTGTGAATTTTAGTAAATTCTGGAAATTCAAGGAAAATTTGATTAAAATTTGTAACAAGCACATGTCAATTTTTGTAGGCTTCATCTAATGTGTATGTTGAAAGTATGAGAAATATATTATAGTACAGTTGGGTTTTGCATAATCAACAAATAGTATATAATTGTGCTATGTTTTGATGTGGAACTTGTCTCACTAGGAAAATGTTATCAATCCAGTCACATTGAGAAAATTGTTTGCTGAATGGAGCTATTGCCAACATGAAATTGACCTTCTTCATGAGCAGACATGGAAAAATTGTCCTCCTTGCAGCATTGATCAACATTCATGTCATGTTGATAGAAATCAAAAAGTGTACAGATTCAGCAAAGTACCAAGGTTTGTGACATTGCATGGCGAATTCTCAAACTTCCAAAAATGGAATTACCCTTTGTAAACGATTCAGATATTTTTATGTTTTAATTAGTTGAACCAATTTTAACAAATCCAAGAAAAAGACCTACTGCTCATGTTTGATTCTTTACCTGCATTGTTAGGTTTATGAGAGCTTGTGTTAACTTACTTTTACCACAGGGGTCCAGTCCAGTGTTATTATCGTGATGTATTGATTGCAAACAACAGTTTTGTGGACTCTCATTTAAAAAGTCTTGGTTCAAAGTCAATTCAGGTAATGTGTTATGAAGTAGGATTGAAAGGTAGTAATCTATTATTAGGTTAAAGCATTTTTTGATAGAATGAAGATAATTCTTGTGGTGACACCCATTTGAAGGCTGCAAAAATGGTCTCCAAATCAAAGAAAAAACAAGACGAGACTGGACTTGAAGTTGCTGGATGCAGGCACTCGATTGCTCAAGCTACTTTGAACATGTTCAGAGGTGAAATTTATGGCTATGCTCACTACTTGCATATGAATTTTTACAACCACATAAAGTTAAATATATGTGGGAAGATATTATATGCAAATATTGGCCGTGGACTCTACGTGTTACATCGGAAGAAAATCAAAATGCGCTAAGAAATATTGCACCAGCACTGTCTATAATGCATGGGAAATCGCACATTTGGTCATGTCAGGTACGTTACATACGTAGGTTATGATTGTTTACCCAATAACTCGTAAACTAAATACCACATACGCCGACGATAATGCTCTATTAAAGATGTTATGAGACGAAACGTGCTTTGTCACTGTAATAATACTGTATTTCACATAACTAAACCGTGGTTACGTAAATCTGAAATGGGTTGTTTTGAATGGATGATTCTATTCACACTTTTTTAGGTTATTTGGAGCGGAATATGGCAAAGTGGTGCGGCAGCAACTGCTGGCGAAGAAGTTTAGCAAATATATTCGTATTTGTCAAGACTTGGCTCGACTACTAAAAATATGACGGCCTCCGTTGATTATTATTTTCTGATCTGCGTATCCACTCAGGTTTTTAGTCGATTAAGTCCACGAACTAATGTTGTTGTTGTTGTTGTTGTTGTTGTTCGTCCATCACAAGCGGTGATGACCTTGACAAGTTAACTCAAGTACTAGAAGACTGGTTACGGTGAGTTCTGAGGTGGTTAATGAGCCCAATCTTGGCACGGAATGTTCTCGAACACGAAGGGCAAACCCGAGATGCATCTGATGTTGAAGCACTGGCTGCTCTTGATTTCCGCAGCTCATGTTTCTGTTTGGCTTCCACAGTCCGCCCTTCTTCTGATGCTTGATAGCCCTTGAAGATGAGATCGCGCCAGCTTGATCGGTTCCCTGCAAGTGTGTCCCATGTTGCGGTGTTGATGTTAAAAGACTTCAGTGAGGCCTTTAATGTGTCCTTGAACCGCTTCTTCTGGCCTCCGAGTGATCTTTTGCCGTTGGAGAGCTCACCATAAAGCAGTTGCTTAGATATCCGCTCATCTGGCATGTGAGCAATGTGGCCTGCCCATCGGATCTGTGCTCTCATCAGCAAGGTGTAGATGGATGGCTGGTTGGATAGAGCTGCACTTGTTTGATGGTTTTTCAGCTTGGCAACATTTATCCTCTTTTTGGTCATGCATCCCTGTGGAAGTCTCTTTGGTTTGATGCGGATGTTCATTTTAGAGGTGATGAGTCTGTGGTCAGTCCAGCACTCTGCACCACACATGGCCTTGGTAATTCTGACATCCTGCCTGTCCTTCTTCCTGACAATGATGTAGTCGATGAGATGCCAGTGTTTTGACAGGGGGTGCATCCATGATGTTTTGTTCCTGTTGGGCAGCCGGAATATTGTGTTGGTTATAAGGAGACCATACGATGAGCATAACTCCAGCAGGCGCAGGCCATTGCTGTTGCACTTGCTTACCCCACTCTTTCCAATGATTCCATCCCGGCAGAATCACGGCCTACCCTTGCGTTAAAATCCCCAAGTAGGATCAGCTTATCAGTACTGCGCACGGATGAAAGCATAGTATCCAGATCTTCGTAGAATCTGTCTTTCACGTCTTCCGGATTTGTCAATGTAGGTGCATAGGCACTGATGAGTGTGGCCCGTTTACCATTATGTAGATGAATCTGCATTGACATGAGACGATCGTTTGTACCTTTAGGGAGATTGGCAAGCTTTTGGACAAAATGGTTCCTGATGGCAAAACCTACCCCAGACTCCCGGCGCTCATCGGTAGAACGGCCACTCCAGAAGAAAGTGTAGCCACCTCCATATTCAGTCAGCTGCCCCTCATTATCGAAACGAGTCTCACTCAGTGCTGCAATGTCGATGTTATATCTTGCAAGTTCTCTGGCAACTAAAGCGAAGGGTTGTCAAGTAATGTACGCACATTCCATGTGCCTGAGGTGATCGGTGTAACCTTAAATTTTTTCTTTCCTTTATTTCGACCGCAGGTGTGGGATTCTCGCCAACCGCGGCTTGCTCGCCAGGATGAAGGTTGAAGCAGGCTTTTTTTCGGACACCTTTTCTGGTCCCTTCCTCATGTGAGGTGAGCAGTGCATCCCTAAAGAGGGCTGCTCAGACACCCAGGTAGACGCCGAGTTCACTGCTGCTTCAGTCAGTACGAAAGCGACCATTATACCTGGGCCTCCTGTGTGCAGGTCTGCAACTACAGCTCCCAGTGTATCCACACCTGCTGCTTCGTCGCTCGCCCATCGCCACAGGGCTTAAGGAGAATGACTATTCTTTCCTTGAAACAGAGGACAGGTAAGTAGAGAAAATGACACCAATCTTTTAAAATACGAACATACTTATTGACATGATTATGTTGTTTTATAGAGCTTTCTTCTAGATGAATATAAACATCGCTATTGTGTGCGAAAAGACACAATGAAGACTCTGCATGATCATCTCGCAATCACAAACAGAAGAATTGCATTTGCTAGAATGCAGTTGAAAAAAGATTTTTAATACTTTCACGACTAAGAACAGTCCATAGTCAACGTATATGGTAGTGACAGTGAATCAGACTATAGCGATGAAGATGACGTTCATGAAGATGTTGAAGAAGAAGATGCATATAATTCGTAGTATTTTGTTGCTGAAAGCTGTGCTATCATTATTATTGTGTGCACTTTTTATAAATAGAAAATTTTTGCATGTTGCTCTTTTTGTAAATAAAATGTATGCACATACACTTGCAAGTATATACATCTAGGAAGATACACGCATTTGTAGTTGTTCAGTGCAAACGGCCAATTTTGTAACAATCTATGATCTTCTACAAATTGTCCTTTTGCAACACAAATTGTCTTTTTCCTGGATATTTAGATTTCTGATTCCTCAGAGATAGATTTATTGATTTAATAGTCGCTCATTCTCACTCACGTAACCAAAAAAGCTATGAATGGCTACCAGCCACTAGCTGGTATACTGGTTCAATTCCAGTACATAGCTCTCAAGAAAGTGGTTAGTACGCACATATCTATATCTCAGACACCGTGGATGTAATGAAGCTATTCACCTTTTGCTGCTGTTATAAGTTGTTTGTTAACAAAAGTGATTTAAAACATGTTTCATCAAGATTGTAGACATTTCTGTTTTAATTTGGTTAGTAAATTGTGCAATTGGTACTTAACTCTATGAAAGCAGCCTTTACCGATTTTTCTAAGATGAATGGCAAGCAATACGTCCCCAATTGCTTTATAGAACGTCAAGGTATGATGCGGGAATGCCGTATGCAGAAAAAGTCGTTTGATGTAGTTCAAAGAAGTTATAAGTGTCTTATTTCACGACTCGGAATTTTTTTATTTGGACATAATATAAAATCTTTTCTTTTATAATACAATGATATCAAACAAAAATATTTCCTCTCGAAGATCAGGCACAAAATAGAAAATTTACTATAATATACATATACAAGGATGTTTCTTTACGAAAACAATAAAATCCATAAAGAAAAAAATGCGGAAGATTTAAGTAGTTATATATTGTGAGTAAAATCATTTGGTCCAGCAACAAACATTCTGTCAACTGGCCTAATGTAAGACTCGTCAGTTCTTACGACATCTTCGTCGAATGGACCAGGCAATGGTGGAGCAACTGTTTTCCCCGGTACCACACTAGTAAAAAAGACAGATAAGTAGCCGGGAGTCACGAGTCGATTATGCACCTTCGACATTCCTGAGACACATCCAAAACCACAGATTACACCATTCTCGTTGGCCAAGCTACAACAGTTCCTAAGTATACATGAAACAATTTAAATTCAAGACAAAGCCATTTGCTTCGTTAATCACTATATATGACATAAGAAATATTGCTACGCATCATCGGCATATACGTAGATGCCAAAGAACCAAATCAAGTTTTAACTTTTTAAAGCAAAGGAAAAGGAAGAAGAGGTTGAAACAGATGAAGAAATGCCGATGGAGGTACATACACTGGAAGAAGCCAGAGTGGTGTTAGTGCTAAAAGAATCAGTGACGACATTTGTATTGGTATTGGTAGCAGCAGGGAGGAAGGGAGATTCGAAAGTCGCTGAAATCGTATTATGATGAAAATCTTTGCGTATAGGAATGAATGTCAAAACAGCGCTACTAACTGGAAGGGAGGTTGTAACTGAGCTACAAAGAGTAACAGATGAAGATTTTAAAATAGAAGGGAAACAGAAAACGACAAGGAAGGGGAGGTAGAGGCAGGGATAGTATTTGTAGATGAAAGATCTGTAAATTGACTACCTTTATTTCTATCTTGCCATAACTTCTTCATTCCAGTTTGAAACAAGTTTCTGGCTGATTTTCGAACTACACCACTGCTGCTAATAAAATCTGACGCCAAACCAGTAGTTGCAGCATAATCCCAGACGGTTGGACCTCCAGTGGTTGATGGGTGATAATACATTACCACCAAATGATAACCGTGGTTCTGATGAAGAGTCTGAGCCTACAAAAAAGTCCAATTCCGAAACCAATCAAATTATACATTGATAGATTTTAACATTTGCTCCAATACCGTAAGATACATTAAAGAACACATATCTAACCCTTTTCATCAGCAGCATTTTCTGTCTTGTCGTGGTCGAATATTGTAGTATTGAGACGGAAGAGGGCCTCTTTGGAATGAGCTTTCCACAGTTGGAACATCGTTTGCATATGTTGTCCACCGCAGTAAAGAAATTTCTACATATTTTCTTTCGAGAAGTTGTCTGAAAAAATTCTAGTCCTCTATAACATAGAAGTGCACCACCAATTAGGTAAAAATTATTTTTTCCAGAAAATTACTGTACAAACCTTTCAGGCAATTGGATGTATTTCATAGGAAGCAACAATTGCATTTATACACGAATAGTACAAAAAGTAATATTACAGACGTGAACATACAAGACAAGCAGTAACAAGTTGTGTGATTCCTTTACAACGGAAACCAATCATCGTAATAAAGTAAATGGTTTGGAGCCCGGGAGTATCGTTACATGTTTGTAAATGTAGATCGTCCAGATTGGTATAGTCCTGAGAAGGACTGTTTTTGTTGTTGTTGACTGACGTATCGACAACCTTAGCGGTAGTCATCTTCAGAGTCAACCTTAGAAGGACTTAATCGTCTT